GATATATAAATTACCAATTAAATTTCTGTCGCACAGTATCCAATAACTACGACTTTTACGCAATTGTTCGGCAGCTGTAGTACGAAAATGTAAACCTTTATTCTCCCAAGCTTATTTCTGTTAATATTAGAATTTAGATATACTTTAGGGGCTCGGTTCTGTTGAGCACTTTTTTTGCTTGAAAGCATTTGGCTCCTAGACCGTGGCCCCCTTGTTCCGTATTGCAATGAGCACATTTTTTGCCGCATCAGCAAATATTTTCTGTTTTTAATGGGGGAGGGGACAATGTGTGTTTACGGCTTTATTTGATCTTGGTCGGATGCGTGCTTCCCCACCCACTTCCAGATGAGTTTAGTTGATGTGTGCATGAATTGCACGCACCAGACATAATGTTTTTAGTCTCAGGCTTGCCTGAAAGATATAAAAAGTTCCCATTTTCTCACTACAGCTGCCTACCGCTTGACAATTGCGTGAAAAAATGAGACTTCAATACCTGGCCACAGCAGAAGCGAACAAAAACATGGAGAGCTGAGTTACTAAAGGGAGACAAATGAAATGGAGATAACTAGAAAAGGCATGGCACGTGGAACTAGAACAATCTATCTTCATTTCGAAATTGCAACGTATATCACCTGAAGAAGGCCGGAGAGTACAACGGCTGAAACGTCGTGAATATGACAATAAGGCTAAGGAAAATAGTCCGAACCATGTAAATAGTGCAAATAGCTGTTTATTCTTATCTATCTATCTATCTATCTATCTATCTATCTATCTATCTATCTATCTATATATATATATATATATATGTGTGTGTGTGTGTGTGTGTGTGTGTGTGTGTGTGTGTGTGTGTTTTCTATTATTTATGTCATGTTCTCGGTGCAACTGTAGCTGATTTGTAAATAAAAATAAATAAAAAACACAACAGCAAAACTATCAACAAACCTCCGAACAAATTAAACCCACTTGTAACTGCAGAATAAAGAATGTCCCTTAAACGGCAATTGCTTACAGTGTAATATGCTAAACAACGGTAAAATCATCAGATAACGAAAAAAATATACATAGGAGTAACTGAAGGCCCCTGGAAACAAAGAAACTACGCACACAAATCCTCTTTCACAAATAGTAAATACGCGAACAGCACAACGCTTTTCAAGTATATCTGGGAAATTTAAAAGACAAAACAAAAAGCAAATCACATCAAAAATATGGAAAATAAGGAAAAGAACATCAGCCTACAACAATCAATCCAAAAACTGCAAACTCTGCTTGGAGGAAAAATAGCTATAATTACCTTTCCAGACCAAAACAAACAATCGTAACTCATCTCAAAATGCAGACTCGAAAACAAATTTTTACGACGTTACTTAAAAATCGAAAACTGAAAAGAATAAATTAAATAAAATAAATAAGCAAAAACAAGTAAAATAAATTAATCCAAATAAAGTAAATAACGAAATTAACAAACCACTCCCGTCAAAATAACCGTTAAAACAGACTACTCACGATGCAATAGGATTTTCACAATGCATCATCCGTATATATAAATAGTCGAGACAAAACACAACGCATGTGGCCTGACGATTGCGTTTAGCATGAAACAGTCTGTCGCCTCAATGTTCACTTTTATATTTACATACACTCTGTCTCTGATATTGAGCACTTTATCCTATAAATATACCGTACATTAAAACTATATATATATATATATATATATATATATATGATAAAATATAGTTTCAAAGTATGCTATATTTATTGATTAAAGTGCTCAATATCATGTATAGGGCGTATGTAAATATAAAAATGTACATTGAGGTCAACACCCAATATGAATAAGATCTCCCGTCGACTTACTGGGATTTTGAAAATATTTTACAAATGACGTTAGAACAAGAACGAAATCATCATACTGTTTAAATAAGCAACAATACTTGTTCTACACGATGTAGAAACAATGGATGTTCAAGTAGAATTCCTATATAAATGTCTCAGTGGATTTACTGATCTATCGTTGTACACGATAATGCTGTAAATTGGGCTATTTTCACAAAATTGATAAATTTTGAATTTCCCTGTTTTCGTATCTTTTTTTTTTTTTTTAAATAAGCCGAAATGAAATAATAAAAAATTTAGTCGCGCGGCGCTTACAAATGTTATCCAGTTTGATGCTTCCATTTCAATGTGGTAACCCTTGCCCACAGAATGTTTTTTTTTTTTTTTTTGAATTTGTTAATTTTATTCACTACGTAAAAATTTTGCCAATTAAAACAAAATCTAAAAACGTTACAAATGTGATGTAAGTAAAATTAATTTTCTTTATTTCTTCAAGGATGCTCCAGATTTCTGGCCCCTGGACGGAAAATATACGTTATTTGCACCCAATAATGCTGCCATTTTGAAATTTAAAAAAATGGCGACATTTACGTATTGGCTTGATGCTCCGAAAATCATTAATCTCATTGCGTGAGTTACTTTTTAATTTTTTTTGTAATGAAAACGATGCGAATCGAACTCATTTATTGTCCGCTTTAAACTTTAAAGAACACAGTTCTGTGAATTTTTATATTAAATCATTTACATGGCAGTTCAATTAATTACTTCATCTATATTGGATCGTAACAAAAGTTGGTATCATTTTTAAGCGAATTTCAAAGACAATATTTAAATATTTGTACATAGATTTATTCAACTATATAAGTTACCATTTTGTTCCACTACCTTTCGCCATCTTTAAGGTAGGTTCATGATTACTATTCCAGACCTTGGCATCTTTCCGAGTGATGAAGTGATCTAAGTGGCTTTTACAGGCTTCCAGAAAATTAAAGTTCTTCCTATAAAGAGAATTTGGTCGAGATTGAAATGAACTAGTGTAGTTCAGGTGTTGTCGGACATCCATGCCAAGTTGTACCAATTTTTACCGAATCTGCAAAGGAATATAGGACCTAGCGTTGTCCTGATGGAAGACGGCACCATCCTTATTGGCCAATTCCGGGTATTTTTTTATCGATTGCTGCCTTTACTCGATCCAATTTCGAACAAGTTCTTTTCGTAATTCAATGTAAGATTTTGCAGAAGTAGCTCGTATTATATAATGCCATTCCAATTCCGCCAGATACATAGTATCCTTTCACGTATCAAAGCGTTTTCAAATATGGAATATCTCTTCGATGCTCGTGTCGTGTGATCTAGATTACTTTTAATCATCAAATCGACTATGGGCCTGATGGAAAATCAAAATGTGCCTTCTGAACATAATGAACCATTTACGTGTACTACTCTTAGCTAGTGTACTGGATTGGCAAAAAAGTCCGTTCTGTTTATTAAATAAATTTTTTACTTAATAAACGAACGAACTTTTTGACCAATCCAATACTGTCTCCTTAAATTGTACATATAATTTTTGTTGCTTATATAACGCATGTTTTTTTTTTCGGGAATAATAACGCATCAAATGACAAAAAATGAATCTCATTCAACTCCATTTTCACTTTTAACGGAAAAATTATTAAAATTCACGCTCCACATACAAATCGTATAGAAAGCCGTGATGAAATGTCATCTTTCTGAATTTGTATAGATGTCATAAGTTTTAGTCACGTGTGAAACGAAATCACCTATTCAAACGGAACCTATTGAAAAACGGCACAATTTTTTTTCCTACCTAATATTCCCGCCGAAACACACACACACATTTATATATTCGCGAGGTATTACTATAGTAAATTATCTACAATGCATCACTATTCTAGCAAATCACGTGTAATACATTTCTATATTATATCTCTTGCAATGCATCTCTATAGTAAATCATTTGCAATAGAATTCTGTCGTAAATCACTTGCAATAAATTTATAACAAATAATTTGTCATTTCTGTTTGTATTTCTGGGATGATGAGTGATCATTTATTTACACTATTTATATTCGGACTATTATCCTCATCTTTCTTGTTGTTATCATAACTTTCGGCCTTTTTTTTGCCTCCCGTCCTTCACTAGGTGTGTATCGATCCAGATAACCTACTGGACCCGGCAGTGCGTACTTGGGATCAGCGTAAACAGGGCGAGCAATAACTGAACATTACTAAAAATAATTTTTTAAAAAGTGAGAGATACCTGGACATTAACAGTGGAACAAGAACAGTCTACCACCGCAGATTAAATGAAGAATTCAGTTCGGAATTCCCTGTAGATTACTCAGATCGATATAAACCTGATGAAAGCCGGGGGGGGGTGTACAACGGCCGAAAAGTTGTGATAACAACAACAAAGATGAGGACAATAGTTCGAATGTAAACAGTGTAAATAATGAAATAATTTAGAATTGATTTCTCTACGGGATTATTTCCAGTGGTATATACAGTTTGCAATTTACAAACTATAATAAATAATTATCAAAGTTTTTCGACAGAAAATCTTTTGCAATGTATTTCTAAAATAAATAGTTTGCAATTAACTATAATAAATCATTTGCAATGTATTTCTATAATAAACCATTTTTAATGTATTTTATAGTAAATCACTTATGAAATATTTTTTTATAATAAATAACTGACAATGTTTCCAGTATTAAAATTATTTAAAATATAATTTTTTGAATAAATCATTTGCCATGTATTTCTAGAGTAAATTGTTTGCAATATATTCCTAGTAAATTATTTAGAATGTAAAACTATAATAAATCATTTATAATGTATATCTATAATAAACCATTTGCAATTACCTCCAATAAATTATTTGAAATGTATTTTTATAATAAATAATTTGAAATATATTTCTATAATAAATCATTTACAATGGAATTTTTATAGTGAATTGCTTGCAAAATATTTTTATAATTATCAATGTTTCCTATAGTAAAATTATTTAAAATACACTTTTAGAATAAATCTTTTGCAATGCATTTCTATAGTAAATTGTTTGCAATATATTTCTATAATACATTATTTGCAATGTATTTCTCTAATAAACTATTTACAGTTACTTACAATAAATCTTTTGCAATGGATTTTTTTAGTAAATCACTTGCAAAATGTTTTTATAATAATGAATGTTTCTTATAGTAAAATTATTTAAATTATACTTTTGGAAAAAACCTTTTGCAATGTATTGTTAGAGTAAATTGTTTACAATATATTCCTATAGTAAATTATTTAGGATGTATTTCTATAATAAACCATTTGAAATGTATTTCTACGTAATGAACCATTTGAAATGTATTTCTACGTAATGAACCATTTACAATTAGTTACAATAAATCATTTGCAATGTATTTTTATAGTATATAATTTGCAATATATATCTAGTGTAAATAATTTATCGTTTCCTTCTATCCTGAAATGATTTCGTCTGGAAGTTCTCCTTTACGCAACTATTAAATTTATGGAATTGTTTCATTTTAGATTCCACACTCTGAACAATAGTTACAATATGGACACGCTTCAGCAGCTTCAAGGCGAAAAGTTCCACACAGTCATGGAAGGATTCACAGTAGATATCTTCGCTAACGAAACAGTAAGTTATAAAAGTTATAAAAGTAAAAAACACAAGACTAGCCAGACACTAAGTGACCAATAGTCTCAACATGTTTTTCGCATAATCTACATATTGGGTTTGCACCATTCTTTTTGTAATTCCTGGAAAATAGTTGTATTATTATTATTATTATTATTCACGCTGCTTTCCTCACCTTTCTTGTTGTTACTCCAACGTTTAAAGAATTGGTTCGTGAATTCGGTGACATCGTAATTGTGGGTTCAATCCCAGGGTTGGGCAAAGTCTACATGGACTGAATGGAGAAATAACTTAGCATTACTAAAATAAGAACTAGACAAGGCATTCCTTGACACAGGCAGTGAAACGAGAACAGTCTATCTCTATAGATTAAATAAAGGGTTCAGTTGGGAATTCCTTTTAAGTTATTCAGATTGATATACACAATGGCCGAAACAACAACAAATATAAAAACAATAGTCTGGATGTAAATAGTGTAAATAAAGATAATTCGTCATCCATTAAATTCAAGCAAATATTATTATTATTATTTGTTGTTGTTGTTTCATTTTAATGTTTGATGGTCCCCGTTTCCTTTTTAGACAACCATCGTGAAAACGCGGGAGATCAAGGCTAACATCATTACTCCAGACATTCCTGCCGACAATGGTTACATTCACATAATTGATCAGGTAAGACCGTATCTTCGAGCACACAGATATTTGTTCTTTTATGTGCCGTGTCTCTTCAGGCCGTGGACTGTCATGGCTCTTCACAACTTCGAATTCTTTGTAGCTCTTAGAAAGGTTCGTTTTTTATATCCTTGCCACTCCCTGTTCTGTCATCCATTTGCATAAACTTGTGAGATAGGTTACTCTATGTTTGCCGCTACCCTTCTTCAATATCTTGTACGTGTCGAATTTTCCAGGCCTTCTTTCCTCATTATGCGTTCCAGAAATTTCAACTCTTTCCGAAACTAAATTTCAGTTTCCTTTTTCGCCCATTTTCCTTAAAACGTCCTCACTGCTCACATGTTCAGTCCATGGTATTCTCAGCATTCTTCTGTAGAACCACAGCTCTGCTCAAGTCTCTTCTTTATCTGCGCGAGTATTGTGTGTGCCTGAAAGAGAGAGAGAGAGAGAGAGAGAGAAAGTGTGAGAGAGAGAGAAAAAGTTTCCAGCGAAAAAAGAAGTTTTCAACTCTGTATTCAGTATATCTTTTAAAGTTGCAAACATTTGCACACGCCTAATATTAGGTACCGCTATTAACTCAGCATACGTAAGTTTTAAAATTAATTTTTTAAATGAATACGCATTCTTGAAGTTTTCATTTTAGCTTTAATTTTAGCTTTAATTGAAAGCTAAGGAATTAGAATTTACTATTTCCAGTAAGCAAAATATTCTGTGGTGCATTTCAATCGATAAATCAGTCATTTTAACACATTTGTAAACAAAAGTTAATTCTCGGTTTGAAAAATCTTGCAAAAATAAAATATATATTTCTGAAACGTTATTTGAGGAAAATTAGCAAATTTAAAGTTAAATTAATCTGATTTGAAGCACATATTACTTATAGCATAAAATGTTGTATACAAACATTTCTTAACCACGGGGTCGGGTTTTTCTGACGTATTGATCGATTTATGATCACCTAACGTGTTGACAAGTATGATGAAGAAGAATTGCGAGCAGACGATAAATTCTATATGAGGGTTTTTTTTCTGTAAGGAGAGAGCAACCCTTAAAACATGTCACCTTTTAATGACAATATCAGGTATGAACATCTGTACTTGCAAATTCTGCACACACACACACACACACACACACACACACACACACACACACACACACATATATATATATATATAATATATATATATGTACACATAGAAAAACAAATCAAAATTCTTTTTAAAAGTATTTACGGTCGTCAGATTGTAATAAACTTTACAATATATGATTAGTAAATAGTTTTACTTAATAACAATATTTCCTAATATTGAAACTAAATTTTAAAAGATTTAAAAATTATTCAATTTAAAATTGCAAAAAAAATGAAAAATGAAAACAAATCTTGTTAATATTCATTTTTCATCGAATTTTTTTCTTCACACAATATTTTTACCAAGATTTTCTAATAAAAAAATTAAAAAATAATTTCATTTATATGTGAATAAGCCCTGAGAATTTCGTTAAACTCCAACAATTATTTGATTTTTGTAAAAAATTAATGTGTCTGTAACAGTAAAAAAAGTGGCTAAAATCTGCTATCAAAATTTCAAATGTTCTAAAAGGAGTAAAAACTATAATTAAATATTCATAAAATACTTGGACCCTTCTTCTTAATAATAACAAAGATTCTGACGATAAAACTATGCTTTCATTACATTTGGAACATGTTTTCATCACGGTATGCTGATTTTTTGGCAATTTCGTGGAGGTACCTACCTAATATTAAAGCCATCAGGAGCCAATGTTTTGAGTATAAATTTACCTCTTTTCTTTTTCTTTTTGTAAATTGAATCATTAACTTATTGATTTATTTCTACGGATATTTCTTTGTTGGTACCATGTATGTTGCTGATCGTGGCGAACGCAGGTATAAAGATCTTCTTGGCTTATAAACAGTCCATTTTAGGATAAGGTAGCGAAGGAGAGCAAGAAGAAAGGACTAAGCATAAAGACGCATTCCAAAAGCTAAGAATTACGAGACAAGAAAGTTTCGTTGGAAACAAAGAGTACTATACTGTTACGTGATATCTGTCCTCCTGTATGCCAGCGAATGCTGGGCAATCTCCTCAAAGATGAAGATAAGACTCGAAGCAACAGAAATGTGGTTCTACAGAAGGATGCTGAGGATACCATGGTCGAACATGTGAGCAACGACAAGGTTTAGGAGAGAATGGAATCAAAGAGGAAACTCATACTTAACATCAAGAAGAGGCAGTTGAAATTTCTGGGACACGTAATGAGTGTGTGTTTGCGTGTGTGTGTGCGCGCGTTTGTGTGTATGTGTGTGTGTTTGTGCGTATTGTTTAATATTTGGTATATTTGTAGAGGAAGAATGCTCAATATGATAGATATTTATATATCGTTTACAGCTATAAACACGACAAACAGTAATCATGGCGGCTGTCGGATTCAAGTTCAATGCGTCGTTGATCGTTAAATTGTCTACTTTTATTAAATTAAGTGTGAAAATTGTTGTTTCTGACATTAAAGATGCTTAGTATGTTCGTACCGGTATTAACTACTATTTTCTTTATAGTTGGGTCTTTAGTTTTAATACTAATTGCTTCGCGAATTTGTACGCGTTTTTGTCAATTATTTTTGTCGACAGCTTTAGGAGATAACTGATAACTGACATCCATCAAACATGGCACGTGGAACTAGAACAGTCTACCCCAGTGAGTGAAATAAAAGGTTCAGTTCGACATTCCAACCACGTGAAGAAGGCCGGAGCGTACAACGGCCGAAACGTTGTGATAAATATGGCGACAAAGATGAGGACAATATTCCGAATAATGTAAATAATGAACTTTAGTATTGTTGGCATTTTTCGTATTTAATCTGGTGTAAGTTTGTGTTATTGTTGTATGATGTCATTAGATGGTATGAAAGATGGTGGAGGGTTGCAGAGGTACTGGAGGTTCTTGAGATACTATTCGGGAGACATTCCCAGAACAATATATATATATATATATATATATATATATATATATATATATATATATACAATATTGTACATTGAGTGCTGATGCTAATAAAATGGTGCTCGATATATAATAACAGATTTATAATTTATATTAATAATAAATATACATTTTCTTCCACACCTGTAGCACAACATTGAGTTTAATGTACAATACAATCGTTAGATGTTGATTGAAAACTGACCGTTGCATTATTTAAGTAATTTTCAGTCTGCACCTGAAGATTGCGTTATGCATGAAACTCAGAGTTGTGCTACCGGTGAGAAAAAAAATGTGTATATATATATATATATATATATATATATATATATATATATATATATATATATAAGGGCTTCGATGGTCATAATTTATTCCATTGGAATCGTAAATACGATCCAATTCATCAGACCTCAAAAAGAAAACAGAAAAAAACAACTCCGGGAATAAAAAATAAAATTTAGTGAGAGTATATGTATGAGAGTGTGAGACGAATGTTAGAGTAAATGAAAGCTATAGGGAGGGGTAACAGACTAGAGAAGAACAGGAAGGTCTAAAGATGAAGGGGGGGATTAAAATTTAGCAGAGAGAAGTTTTAAAGAGGGGAGTCAAAGACGGTTTAAGTGAGAGAAATATGAATATTCACGGGTGTCTAATACATTAAAGATATACCGGAAAAAGGTACGTTATTATATCCTTACTCTGTCCTGTACATTGCGATCTACCTGAATTTATCCTCTTGGATTTATTTTTTATACAAATATATACGTAAGTGTATGTATGTATGTATGTATATATATTTATATATCTTAGATATATTATTGCATATGTATGTGTATATTTACCACTAATATTATCTATCTATCTATCTATCTATCTATCTATCTATCTATCTATCTATATATATATATATTGAAATATTTGAAATATGCAGATTTGCTTTAGCACTTTCTTCACTATTACTATGATTTCTCTTTAATAAATAAAAATGTGTCGTCTATCCCAAATATGCAGTGTTCATTATAATAACATTTGAAATAATATACACGTATATAACAAGATAAAACAAAACGAAAAGAGAATACAATAATAGCACTATATATATGGAGATATGGTAGAATGATGCGGCTCGGATTGCAGAATCAGTTACATTCGCTTACCTGAAAATATCCTTAGATATGAGTTCATCTCTTCTACCCCCCCCACCCCCGAAGCTATGTCTAAATAGCAGTACATACTAGGTCCTAGAGACTTTGGTAGCAACCAGTCTAGGAGAAGGACAACTCTGAATTCAAATTCTTTAGGTAACCTTCTGGTACACTGCGCACTACTTCTCTGGCTGATCGAAAAATGAGATCGGCTCTGCACAAACCTTCGCCACTATAACCCAATCATATGTTCGTGTAGTCTAGCTGTTTGGTTCTGAGAACTGATACGCTGGACATCGAAAACGACGGAAGAGTTCTCCATATATATATATATATATATATATATATATATATATATATATATATATATATATATATATATACAGTAGAATCCGTCATAATGGAATCCGTCATATCCGGAATCCATCATATCCGGAATCCCTCATATCCGGAATCCCTCATATCCGGATATCATCTTGATGTGTATATTTTAACTATTTGAGTGATATGTAACTGATTTGAAATTTCTGTTTTTCACAAAATTTACTTTGGATAATTGCTTATGCTTATTTCGCCCTAAAGGCCTGTATTGGTACAAAAGACGATGAGAATAAGAGGAAAATAATAACTTTGGAGTTATCGCAAAAAGTGGAAATTTTAATCAGACTATATGCCGGTGAAAGTTCATTGTAACTAATGGCTGAGTTCAACATAGGAAAACCAACATTATATGATATAAAATCTCCCAAAGAAACTATTCTCCAGCATTGACACTGTCTCAATGAACAAGGAAATAAAACATGATTGTGATGAAACCTGGGCTGAAACTGAAAAAGCTATTGAAAAAGTTGTCAGTTCTATGAAAAGAAAACCAGAATTCAGCTGCGTTATTGAAATCGTCATGATTTCAATAACGCAGAGTTAGAAAGGGTCTTTCGCTTAAAAAATTTCAAAACAAAATGAAATGCAGAAAAAGCTGAGAATGACATTAAAAGAGAAAGAATTATGCGACAGTGGTTAAAAAATCCTCGTTATATTATTTGTTTTGCATACGTGACATGCTTATTTTAATGAATTTTCATTGACATTACATAATTTATTTATTTTTCCTTAAAATAAATTCCCTTATATTTCACTCACCATTAACTTATTTTGTTTACTATAAAACACTGAAAATAAATGTTAAATCTGATTACAGTTCTTTTATTTTAATCTAAATATAATCCCTCATATCCGCACTTTTTAACCAATTTCTCATATCCAGAAGGCCTTCTTGTTGTCAGGGATAGTAATATATATATATATATATATATATATATATAAGTGAACATTGAAGTCAACACTCAGGAGCGACAGACTATTTCATGTTAAACACAATCGTCGTGGTCTGACAATTGCGTTTAGCATGAAACACTGTGACGCCTCCGAGTGCTGGCTTCAATGTTCAATTTATATTTACATACGCTCTATGATATCCCATAAATACAGCATACCTTAAAACTATATATATATATATATATATATATATATATATATAGAGAGAGAGAGAGAGAGAGAGAGAGGGGGGAGGGAGAGAGAGAGAAGAACATATATGCACCGTTATGACACTGATGTTACGCTCCTAGACAGAGGGTTATGGGTCAACATACTGATCCTCAGAAAATTTTACAGCCACTCTGATCCATACGTAATCCCCCCATTGTGTATAGGCACTAGTCTATATATATATATATATATATATATATATATATATATATATATATATATATATATACCCCAATGATTTATGCATTGTTTAATTCTTGCAATTTCTATGCAGGTTCTGGAACCTTATTCTGCAACGAAGAATCGATTGACATTGAATCAGTTCTTTGAAATCCATAAAGAATATTCACTGTTTGGAAAACAACTGATGGTGAGTCAACATTTTTTTTCAGAATTCATGTCTCTCTCTTAAAGAAAGCGCTTTGAGCTGAATAAAAGAAAATTCTCATAAGAAAATAAATGCCAATCATAAAATCTGGTAATAATTAAAACGAAAATCCTCTATTAATTTTCGGTCTCTACCTATAATACATTAATGCCTACCGTCATAAAAATGGACGGTGTATAGTATAGCTGGCCGCTCGTATTCGAGGATACCCGTCTACTAGGGCGGCTAGCCAATCCCTTTTGCAGACACTTGCCCAGGCGCACTTGTGTTTATTCAACACTTGTGTTTATTCAACACACACGGAGCCCACCTGTGGTTTATACTGCAACAATGCTGAGCAGACCTTAGTTACAGTTTCTGGGAAATAACATGTTATCTAGCGTGATCAACAATTTGAACAAGGCCAGCACGCTCAATCCCTCGGCCACGATGACTTGTGACTTGTGACTTCGTGCTTGCCCAGCTATCGACGGCACCCAAGGGTTCCGTCTACCCAATTTCAGGCTTGGGTGGTATGGTTTTCAGGCACTTTCCAAAGGTGCCGCACGTTGGGATCGTCCCCTCCAATCTGATAATATCAGGAAGTCTGCTTCCTAACAAATCACCTTCTTCAGATGATTGAAAAAGACCGGAACGCATAGCGGCCGAAAGGTTGTGAATATGCCAATATAGATGAGGATAACAGTCCGAATAATGTAAATAATATAAGTAATCATAAGACCTCATCTCAGAGATATAGACAGATATTGAACAAATGACAGATTTTTTCATTTCTTTCTCGATACCTCGACGTACCCATATTTGATCGGGTACTCACCAGTGACGAAAAGTGGATTCGGTATGATACTCCCAAGTGTGCCAGACATTGGTTGAACCCAAGGGACCCTGTGCCTCACACCACAAGACCACCTCTACACCCACGCAAGATCATGCTCTGTATTTGGTGGACTAATCGACAAGTGGAGTTGGGACGTTTGCAACAAGCACTGAAGCAGGAGACAGGATTGTTTAATCGCAAGGGTGTACTGTTCCTCCATGACAATCCAGGTCTTATGTGGTGCGGTTGGCCAAGGATACCATACAGCGACTTAGCTGGGAAACACTATGCCATTCACCTAATCCCCCGTACCCTGCGCGAACAGATTACCACATCTTCCATTTTCTGGACAACCACCTTCGTGGGAAATCCTTTGCAAATGAAACAGACTTCTTTGCATCAAAGACATCTGATTTTTACCGCAGCTGAAGGTACGTCGGTACAAGGTTATGAATGCTGATGAGAATCAGTTTGAGGACTAACGGTATGTCAGATTTGCTGTATACCCTTTTTTTATAATAAACCAAAAGCGGCAAGGACTTAACTTTAGTTAATTTGTATAATATTTTTATACAAAAGACTTGGATTTATACCTTTCTCAGAGGTAAGTGAATATAATAAACTAGACTGGAATTGAAACTTGGCTCTCTGACTTTCAATTCCGAGCCGTTAACCATTAAACCACCCACACATCCAAGTTTACAGCACCTAGTATTCCCAAGAGACCACCCATTTAGCTACTGACTATGTTCAACGCTGCTCAACTTCGTAGATCGTACGAGAACCGATGTTTCAACGAGATATGGTCGGAAGCTTGTAAAGTTTTTTTGTGAAATTTAAACTTTTAATAATTTCTCTTCTATATAAATAATAAAGTTCAGATAAAATACAAACGAAGACCGATTTATTCGATATTTAAACCAGTAGGAGGAAATGTCCAACTTCTAATACTTGGGAGCAACCCTGTCAAAAGATGACACCTGGAACGCAGAAATCCACCCACGGATCGCCCCAGCGACCGAAGCGATGGCCAGACTGGAAAGAATGTGGAAGAGCAACAACAGTTTCCAGACCACATTCAAGCTCTAGAAATCTCTAGTCATCTACATCCTTCTCTAAGGGTGTGAAATTTGGATACTCCTGTCTGAGACGGGAAAAAGGGCCCAGGCGTTCGAAAACAAATACCAGAGAAATATATTCCCCATCTCCAACTGGAAACACAAAAACCAACGATTGTGTATGGGCTCCGAAATGGAAGCATATCTTTTGCCGACAGTCAGTTATATGGAACTGAAGGGATGAGATTATTTGATCGTAAAAGATAGCATACCAATTGCATCTTGTAAAAGTTTCACAACCAGCGAAAAAATTGCCTGATTTTAAATATGTTTAAAATTGCTAATCGCTATATACGAACGATAAACATAAAGCAATTAAAATGGCAATGACTCTCTGGTTATGTAAATCTTAATTATTGACAGCAAAACCCGAACCCTTCACTGCATTCGGTGAACAGGAAGTTAGTTTTCTTTGTTTTTTTTTTCTTTTTACAGGATACTGGAATGGTAGATCGGTTGATGATGATGAATGAGTACACGTTGTTTGTACCACTTGACAGCGCAGTGAAAGCTTACAACAAAAACTTGGTAATTCTTTCTTTCTTTCTTTCTTTCTTTCTTTCTTTCTTTCTTATCCCATGATTTTCTATTCTTCTCCACTACAACTATTTCGTTCTTTCTTATCCCTTACTTTTCATTTTTCTTTTTCATCATGACTACCTTTCTTTCTTTCTTTCTTTCTTTCTTTCTTTCTTTCTTTTGCTTGCTTTTCATTTCTTCTTCACCACGACTTTGTTTTTCTTTCTTTCTTTCTGTCTTTCTTTCTTTCTTTCTTTCTTTCTTTCTTTCTTTCTTTCTTTCTTTCTTTCTTATCTCTTGATTTTCTGTTCTCCTTCGCTACAACTATTTTTCTTTCTTTCTTATCCTTTACTTTTCATTTTTCTTCTTTCTTTCTTTCTTTTCCATTAGTTTCCATTTCTTCCTCACTTCCACGATTTTTCTTTCTTTCTTATCCCTTACTTTTCATTTTTCTTCTTCATTATGACTACCTCGCTTTCTTTCTTTCTTTCTTTCTTTTTCTTTCTTTCTTTCTTATTCCCTTGCTTACTTTTCATTCTTTCTTCACCGCGACTTTTTTCTTTTTTTCTTGCACTTTTAATTTCTTTTTCAAATTCCTTTTCTTTCTTCCTTCCCTGTGACTATTATCTTTCTTTCTTTCTTTCTTTCTTTCTTTCTTATACATTGGTTTACAATGTTCAGTTCGACGATTGTTCTTTCTTTTATTCTTACTTTCTTTCTTTCTGTCTCTCTGTCTGTCTGTCTATCTTTCTTTCTATCTTTCTTAACGATATCCTGTTTTCTTACGTAATAGAGCTTCCGGTTCCTGTCTTATTATACTCTGCCGATGATGCTCATGACCGACGATATCGATGATGGAATGACCATACAGACAATGCTTGGACAATTCTATCAACTAATGTTTAACGTTCACGGGGATCAAGTGAGTAAATCTATGTTCATTTTATATTATTTTAGATAACGTTTTCTTGGCTATATAACTATGTACATGATAATTCTTTATACATACATACATACACACACACACACACACACACACATATATATATATATATATATATATATATATATATATATATATATATATATATGATAAAAAAAGCAAATAGGAAACGTTTATAAATTTAACATGTTTCGCTTTTATTTAAATCTTCTCAACCGCTGTGCCGTGTGATCCTCTTAAGTGAGCATAGAAATATTATCACAGCATATATATATATATATATATATATATATGTGTGTGTGTGTGTGTGTGTGTGTGTGTGTGTGTGTGTGTGTGTGTGTAAATACATATGTGTGTGTGTGTGTGTGTAAATACATATGTGTGTGTGTGTGTGTGTGTGTGTGTGTGTGTAAATACATATATGTGTGTGTGTGTGTGTGTGTGTGTGTGTAAATACATATATATATGTGTGTGTGTGTGTGTGTGTGTGTGTGTGTGTAAATACATATATATATGTGTGTGTGTGTGTGTGTTTGTGTAAATACATATATATGTGTGTGTGTGTGTGTGAGAGAGAGAGAAAGAGAGAGAGAGAGAGAGGCGTTTATATGTTGAAGTAGTAATGGTATATAGTATTAATTTTCGAATAAATGAATAAGTATTAAACTTTTTCAAATAATTCTTTTCCCTTCGATTCTTATGTTATTTTAAATAATTTCTTTTAATATTCATTTTTAAAAGTATTTTTAATTTTTCATTTCATTTTTAAACTTTTCCTTCGTTTGAATAAATAAATATTAACCCTTTTTTCATATAAATTGTATTTAACATTCTTTTTTTAATTCAAAATTTTTACAAAGTTTCCGATATGCAGCATTTGATTTAATAATTTTAATAAAGTAAATTCATATTTGTGTGCGTATTTTTTTAAATCTATTGTCTTATTTCATAACATTTATGTATACCTTTTAAAAGTTTAGCTAAGTGTGTCGTGATATTTTCATTTGCTTCTAGGTGTGCCGTTGCTTAAAAATGGTTGAGAAACACTGATCTAGAGATATATGAATGTCTTACTTTCCAGACACGGTCAGCACATTGTGGCCGTGTTCATAGCTGATGTTATTGAGTGCTGACTTTCTGTCTTTTATTAATAATGCTTCTATTATTTTTTTAGCCTTTTTTTTTACATGGGGATGGGGCTATTACATTTGTATTATCAACGAGTGTGTTGCGGATGGAGTTTGGTAGGTCTCCATGTGTATTTAAATGAGACTTAGTTGAGCTATTGTCAGAGAAATACAACGTGATTCTTCTTGTTAAGCATGTTGTAGTATATCCAATATAACTATTTATGAATTTGGATTGATCAAGAATACAGTTCCTTAAAAGAAATATATATATATATATATATATATATATATATATATATATATATATATATATATAAAAATATGGAAAAAATAAAAATCCGAATATGCAAGTATGCTGTTTTAATGTTGTTTCAATGTCGACGTCAGACGTTTCGGTCTAGTAGACCTTCTTCAGGACATATTTATTAAAACATAATTAAAATTAGACGATATTCAAGTCAACATGAAAAGACGATAGACATAAGACTAATCAAAAGAGAATAACTGAAATTTTTAAGATCAGCGTTCCGTTTCGCAATACGATCACGTGGGCGATGTTGTGAAAACGTATTCCTAAAATAGAGTATATTTTAAATGAAAAAGAATTTTATTTTCATCTAAAATTTTTATAAGTACGTTTGTCGAGCATTAATCTTGCCAGAAAAGGGGAAATATTAAAGAAGGCGGGTCTAGTATTCACCGTGCGTGAGATAGATATTATGCCTGCCTCATAAATCCGTCTAAGATTTTTATTATGAATATATTTTAAAATCTTCACAGAATCAAAATCGAAATTATGACATGTGTGCAAATAAAGCATTGTTTAAATTACCGAGGCGAATATCTCGTTTATATTCGAAAACACGAGATTTTACGGACCTACATGTTTCACCCACATATTTTAAGTCACAGTTGTTGCATGAGATTTGGTAGATGCAAGCATCGGGTGTAATATGTTGGTTGCTGGTGTTATTTAATAAACTACGGATAGATCTAGTAGGTAATATTGTAGTTTTAATTTTAGATCTGATCTTAAAAATTTCAGTTATTCTGTTTTGATTAGTCTTATGTCTATCGTCTTTTCATGTTGACTTGAATATCGTCTAATTTTAATTATGTTTTAATAACTATGTCCTGAAGAAGGTCTACTAGACCGAAACGTCTGACGTCGACATTGAAACAACATTAAAACAGAATACTTGCATATTCGGATTTTCGTTTTTCCATATTTTTCTTCATACTGTCGGATCTATATCCACATATTTGCTTACATATATATATATACATATATATACATATATATATAAATAGATTTCTTTCTGTTTAGGTTCTTGTAAATAACCTGACTATCATTGAAGCGGACATCCTCACCGTAGGCGGGATCATTCACATCATAGACGACCTTCTTAAACCAATCCTTCATCGATGTGATAACAAAGTTATTGAAAGCCTCAAGGTAGATCATTTATCTTTCTTTTAAATGCACATCCATCTTTTTTTATTCCTGATGTTTCATTTAAAAAAAACTCTTTAACCTTTTGACTATATCATCAACTGAATCCATTTTAAAATTCAATGTCAGGCATAAAAAATATAGTCTGAGTGGAAGCCGAAGTTAATATTTATGTAGAGGTCCGTTGAGATTAATCGTCACTCTCCTAACAAAATTCGGTCGGCGGGAAATTAAAAAATAAAATATTTAGCTCGGCTTCAGTCACTTTCCCACCGCCGTAAGGTTGCCTGAACAAAAGTTGCTTAAAAGTTACGGTGTCTTCGTACACATTTTTGAACTGATCCAATATTTCCTATCAAATCGTGAAATGAAACTTATCCTGAACACGTCTAGATCTTTTCGTACTACCGCGGGTGTCCCTCTGGGTTCGATCCTTGGTCCTAACCTGTTATTAATTTTTTATTAATGACCTTCTTGATTACATCAACTCTCAACTTGGTATCTACGCTAATGACACAACCATTTACTCCTGCCTTGATAGTAAGACTAATCAGTTCGACGGGGTTAAAATAGTAGCCGATGTGCAAAAGGACCTCAAGTACGTCGTTAACTGGGGCAAAAGATAGCTTGTTAATTTTAACCCCCTCCAAAACTAAACTTCTCTCCGTTAATCATCTGAGACTCTTCTCGCTGCCTTTCATCAGCATGGCTGATGCTGACCCCCAGGAAAGTTACTAGTTGCGCCTTCTCGGGCTAACACGAAAAGACTATATTGAATCTATTGCTAGATCAGCTACTAAGAAAGTTGGTTTCCTGTGTCGTACAAGATATTTTTCTCTCCAGAATCTATATTACATATCTATATGTCTACTATTCGTCTATGCTTCGAATATTGCTGCCACATATGGTCCGGTGCCCCTGATATTTATTTTGAGCTCCTTGATAAAATACAAAAAGGAATCTGCAATATTATTGGTCCTGATCTGGCGGCTCGGCTTCAGTCACTTTCCCACCGCTGCTGTGTCTTTTCTGTAAATACTTTCATGGTAATTGCTCGAAGTTTCTGAGATTACCAAAGTAAACTTGACCGTGACAATCACCGCCACATTCACCTATTTGCAGTACGGAATTTTCTTCGGTAATTTTAGTAATTAAAATTGAAGGTCCATTTCAACAGTCTAAGATACGGTGAGCGTTTCGTGTCCTGTTCTTTATCTACTAAGTTAAACATATCTAGTGAATTCTTAAATCATATGAAGGAGAAAATAACATCACTATATTATTTGATTTCCGTGATGTGACCTATAATAATGAATAAATTTTAGCTAAACATGAATTTTTGCTATTTTTCTAACCTTAAATGCGGACATTTTTTGAGATAGATAGATAGATAGATAGATAGATAGATAGATAGATAGATAGATAGATAGTGTTGTGTAGAAAGACGACCGATCTTTTCTACACTAATTTTTGAAAATGTACTGGTCCATTTTCTATGAATAGGACATCTTCTACAGGAACAGTGGTCGCAAATTGAGTCGTAGCTTTGAGTCTTACTCATTGGTGCACTGAACTACGATATTTGCTATTACTGTATTACCAATCCATGATCCTTTCTTCCAGTGTTTTCTTTACAATATTAATAACCAGAACTACGAGCATTGTAATAGATAGATAGATAGATAGATAGATAGATAGATAGATAGATAGATAAGAACAGACATAGATAGATAGATAGATAGATAGATAGATAGATAGATAGATAAGAACAGACATAGATAGATAGATAGATAGATAGATAGATAGATAGATAAGAACAGACATAGATAGATAGATAGATAGATAGATAGATAGATGTTTGAATATGAATAGATAATAAAACAGACATAGATAGATAGATAGATAGATTGATAGATAGATGATAGAATAAGAACAGACATAGATAGATAGATGATAGATAGATAGATGGATAGATAGATAAGAACAGACATAGATAGATAGATAGATAGATAGATTGATAGATAGATAGATAGATAAGAACAGACATAGATAGATAGATAGATAGATAGATGAAGATAGATAGATAGAATAAAAGCTAATATATGTATGTATATGTGTAACGAAGCTTCGCTGGGCAAGCCATCTTATTTGTCTTGAAAACCACAGAATATCATTGCAAATGCTCTAAAGCGGTTTCCTCTACGGCACTTGACGCCAGCATGAATCAAGGACTGTTTAAAATATTTCGTTTCAGCCTACCATATAGAAATCCCCGAGAGGAAAACTGCTTTTTGTGATAGGTATAAGTGAAGACGTACAATTCATGAAGTCACTAAGACCTTCCAAGAACATGTAATGAGTTTTAACAAATATGAAGCATGCATCTTGGAAAGAGGAAATCACTGAATGTGGCAGAGTACGTCTCTTTAATGGAGGCATTGTCAGCTACAAGAAGAACCATATTTGTAGACTTTTGATAAATTGCAACCAATAATACGCTCTGAGTTTTAAAATATATGAAAATCAATATTATCGAATTTCATCGAAATTTTCAGGATTTAGCCTCATTCAGCGGACTTTATTCTACCTCCTGTGGGGGAGGAGGGTTCTTTTGGGCCTTCGACCTTTTTACATTCAGCGTCCTATGTACGTAAAAGTTATAAGAATTTAGAAATAATAAAATTATTTTATTGTACTCTATTATACTCAGAAGTAACAGTATAATACATTTTCTATCCAATGTTTAGCATTTAATTTAATATAGAATTTATTTGTTTCCAAATTCGCCATGCACATAATTAAATTTAGCCAGTGTCGAATATATTGAATATAAAGAAATTGGCTCGATCCATTCGTAAAATGAACAATTATAACAATGTTTTTACTGCAATTTAGGCTAGAAATTTATCACAAAAATCAACGGCAATTAAGCCATGTGTACAATGTAAAAGAAACGAGTGACAAGATAATTAATTAATTAATAGTAAAATACAAGACAGATATCGATTTTTGTTTGATTTTACACATTTAGTGGACATCATCTGATCGAATCGCATGTTAATTTACTAATAACATATTTAGTTAACACCTTAAATCGGCTTAATCTTTCTTCGCATACGCAACCGATTTCCGTAGTTTACATTTATTTTGCGTGCAATTTTTATTTTCTTTTAGAATTCTTTCACATAAAGTCATTCTTAAAAGACATTAGGGAACCTGAACTATGTAATATTTCGAATACGTCACAATAAGCGTGTTGGAAAAAGAAAAAAAAATATGAGCAATGTATCAATTGTAATTGCGGCAAAAAGCGAAATTAAAGTTGAACCTTTAATAAAGAATTGTTTTTTAAACCTTTCATTCTGTTCGATATTTAAATTTAACTTTAAATGGATTATTTACTTAATTCTTAATCGTGTGTAACTACAGTAATTAGTACCTGTTAGTACAGGTTGTTTATGATTCGCCGAAATCGAAAATCGAACGAACGGACGGACACACGTACACTGCGCTTTATTTAGATAGATAAATGAACTTTATAAGGAATCTGAATTTTTCATTTTTATGGAGGTATTTTTCACGCCTTTACTTAATTCGTGGTTTATTCGTAATAGTGAATGTTGGACATTCCTAATTTTTACATTTTTATAAAGCAAAATACCTGATGATGTTATTTCATTTAAAAATACGTAATATCTACTGTGGAAAAGTTGAAAATATTTTCCAAAATCTTAAAAAAAGAATTCAAGAAAATGAAGAAATATTTTTTGTGAAGAGTTGCTGATACTTAATATTAATAAAATATACGTTATATTTTTTGTTTCCACAGGAAAAAAAATCTCTGATTTATATTTGTGAAAAACTGATATATATTTTTGCAGCGAGATTTTAAAACTTTTTCAGATCTTGGTTGTTGCTGATAAATATATCCTAAAATAAAGATGTCTTTCAAGAATCTAAAATGTAAAGCTTAATGTCATTTCCGAGTGTGGAGATTTATTAAATAATTTTATTTATTTTTAATTTTTTAGACCGAATGCATATCTTGTCATCAGGAATCTAATTGCCCGGTTGGCTACAAAAAGACCGCCGTTTTGAAACACACCTGCTCTTATTCGGCCCAAGATGGCAGCATTTTGGGTTGCACAGCCATTTGCAAAAAGCTGAAACTGGTAAAGAAAAACAACTACTATTCTCTGTTATTTTTTTCAAGTGTTTTGGTAAAGCTGAAAAGAGACATTTATTCATCACTCAGAATCGGCGAAATTACAATAGCCACAAGCATTGTTCATGTATCCTCGCAGCGACCTTTAATCATTGTCAGTGACAGAGATGACGTGTGTTAGGTTCGGCTACTTCAGGTTGGAAACTGTTTAAGGAAAATGCGTTGGAATTTTTGAGGATAATAAATTAAATTACTTTATCAGATCCGAGTACCAAGGACCAGAACGTGTTTATTTCTTTTTGTCTTTGGTGTCTGTTGGATTTTAAATCAGCCCAATCCGTGTAGATGTCTATTTTTTTTTTTTTTTTGTTCTCTATCATCTCGTATACCGCATTGTTCTTGCGATAATCGGTAATATTATGTATTATTCTGGTAACATTTTTTAAATATTATTGTTCTGTTAAATGCATCAAAAATAATTATTCTAATGGCACCAAATTTCAAGGAAATAAAGCAAAGAGTTTTGCAAGAGAAATTAATAATATACAACAGAAAATGCAAATGAAACAGACATTACAATCCCACCATTATTGACGCTAGTAACATTTTAAGTAGGCTCCTCCGTTTTTTCGCGGGAAAACAGCATAGCGTAATGAAAAAGGCCACAAACTTAACGAAAATAAAGTTTTATCGACAAAATGTTTGTTGTTATTAAGATGAAAGACCAAAGTATTTTTTAATTATTTTTTGAAATTTTTTAATCCTTTCTAACACGTTCGAAATTTTGGTTAAATTCTTCTTTTGTTTACGTCATCTCGGTGACATGAAAATAACATTGTTTTTTTTTTTTGCGCTTTTTTCCATTGAAAACACATTGATTTGGAAATTCTTGTAAAAATAAAGTAATTGTCCGATTTTAATGAAATTATTTTTGAAGTGTTTTTTTTTAGAAAATTTTTGTAAAAAATATATTTTTTTAAAAATATGTTACGTCCCCCCCCCAACCTTCACTTACTTAATTTCATGAAATTTCGCACAAAACCTTCCTATTTCCTGAATTTTCTTTTTCTTTGTTTTTGTTAAAAGTAGGAGTCTTTGGAGATAATAAATCACCTACTTTTTTTTTTTCAAATTTGAGCTAATCTAACTGAAAATCTGCTCTGAATTGAAAAATAATGAATCCAATAAAACTATGACATTAGTTAATTAGAAAAGGTTTTAATTGCTTTTGTTAATAACTAATATTAAGGACACTATTGTCTGAAGAAATTAAATTTCTTCTGATAAATAATAAAGTTTTACAAGAAATTTTCATTTTTTTTTTAAATTTTAATTATAATAATTTATAATAGTTTAAAATCGTGTAAAATTCTGTATTGGGCTATTTCCTGGATGTGATATAGTAATTAAGTAGAAACAAAATTTACACATCCAAAATTGAAAAGATTAATTAACTTAGTTGTGCTTTTCTATTTTTAAAATATTTTTTTTATTTTGCTTTTTTTTACTTAATACGTTCATTATTTTCATGTACGGTAGACTGAAATTGCCATTATTATGATCTAGAAGTTTTGTCCCTTTATTATGTCGCTTCAGTTAAGTTTCAACAGGTTTTCAAAATTTCTATCCAACTTTAAAAGTTTAAAGCTTAAACTAAGTTTTAATTTTTCAATTACTATTTCGCTAAATATTTTTTTTTTATGTATTCACATTAGTGTGGGACATACTTCAATTGAGTAATCATGGTATTTCATTTGTTATTAAATTATAAAATTAATTGAAGAAAATTTTATAGTATTTTAAATATTTTTATTTTTGCATCTTCGAAGGGTAAATAAAAGTCAATAAAATATTAAATAATTGCGGAAAATATGTTCATTTGTAAAAATTACTAGGTAGTTAAAAACCAAAAATATGCCTTCACTTAGATTTCTGACAATTGGGTCATCCATAGTAGCTGTCATCGCTTCGTCTATCAGCAGTCGATCAAACGTTGGATCAGATGAACAGGATCAATCGTTAATAATTGTTTTTTTATTCTTTTTTATGTTATAAGTAAGTAATATTTATTTCAAATCAGATTAATTTAACTTTTAACTAAAATAACGTGTCGGAAATATATATTTATTTTTTGAAAGAATTTTAAAATAGAAAAACTTGTTTACAAATTTCTTAAAATTAAGAAAATGTCCGCTTTTAAGAAAATTTTAAGAAATCAAAATTAAATTTGTCATTTCAATCTATATAATTTCTATCTGAAACACTCCAGAATATTTTACTTAATGGAAATAATAAATTTAATTATTAAACTTTCAATTAAAGCTAAAATGAAATCTTCAAGAAAGATTTTTCATTTTTAAAATTTAATTTTAAACATTAGGTATCGAAAATTTATGCCAAAAAATTGGAGGTCCCTAATTTTAAGTAATGTCTTATTTTTATGGTTACAGATTCCCGAATGTTGCTATGGTTACTATGGGCCTGACTGTAATGGTAAGTGCTTGTCGCCTGTTATTACCAATTAATGAAAGGAAAGGTTTAGTGAGAGTGATATTAGTAGGAATAGTAGTGGAGTAATATTCGTTGATAATAAACACATTGAAATTTCCTCAAACAAGAAAATAAGAATGAATATAAAAACAATTACACACAACCGCATATTTTATTACCTTAGCAAACTAAATAGAAAGAATACAAAAAGGCGTGAATTAACTTGTGTGTCCTTTTACGTTACATCATCACGTCACGTCATGAGCTATGTAATCCATTAGTGTCGTAGGGGTACCATATTTACTACAGCAATGATGTGATTAAGGCAAGATAGCCTGACGAAGTCGGTCCTTATTCATATTGATTTTGAATTCATAGTTTTTCTTCTTCTAGACTGGTTGCCACCTTGGGGCAAGGGAGACTAGTCTGCCCTGCTATTTAATACATAGCTGGAGGAAGATCGATTCAGTTTTTTTTTTCAAGGATATTAGCGCGAAGTGAAGATAGAAGATTCGACTAGAATTTGAACTCGGCAAACCGATTTTACCTTTCCGGGTTAATAACCATTATACTATCCGCACTTTTCGTACTAGGTATGACAATAAACTACATCCGGCAGCAAGGCCCCTGATCGTGAGATTGGAGTTTTTGAGGAGTGCGTAATCAGCATTTAATTGCTGTTGTTCCCAGGTCCAGCCTAACATGTAGTGGTAGCACTTGTTAGGGTCCGAGCTATGGCCAAAATGGTGAACCCCAAAACAAAACACTATGAATGTATAAAATATATTTTTATATTAAAAATACCAGCAATACATTTTATATAAAAAAAATTTACCAACAACACATAGTAAAATTATCGACAATACATTAATCCATATAATATCCTGGAATTTCTTAAAGACATCAAATTGTACTCCAAAATATAACTTCAACAAAACTACAACATAAAACACATATACCACCATCTGTAGTAATTATGTCCACACAGACATGTATATGCACAAAAGCTGAGTACTATCTACCATGTATTCAATTGTGAAAGCAGAATAAAATATATCTTATTTTTATTACTTCAAAGTTCCACAGAAAATTAAATTTCGGCATTAAATGACCCATAAGGTGTTGATATGCCATTAAACAAACAATCTTATGAAAGATTGTGAGAGACATTTTGAGACGAGTTATTTTATTTGTTGGTTTAGTAGAATTATTAAATATGTATTTTTTTTATCAAGTTGAATTTATTATCTGATATCATATTTATGATATATTTATGCTATCATATTTATAAATGATATGACATGCTATATGACTGTACCAGAATTGCTGATGGCTGCCGTTGATAGACCGTTGTGGAAAAGAGTTAGTGTGGCTTCTACATTCGAATCCGCCCTACGATTACAAAAGTCAATGGTTTTGATTTGATTTGGTTTGTTTTGTTTTAGACATGGGTTATTTAATGCCAACAATTTTTTTTTTTTTTGCTGGTAACATTTTGTTTTGTCGAAAATCTATTTCTGGTAATATTTTTCCCTTCAAAAATGTATTGCTGGTAATATTTTTTTTCTTCAAAAATTTATTACTGGTAATATTTTTTCCAAATTGTATTGCTCGCAGATTTTCCAATGCAAATATTGGCCCAGTGTGTCATGACGAGCTTTATATTCAGTGGGTGCCAATACCGTACAACCTGATACAAGATGGTCAGTTGTTTCTGCATATCTATTTACAAAATTTGGATTTGGAGCTAATACAATTTTTCAGTATGTGCGCTTGGTAAATTTTAGTTTGCAAGCATTGGCCCTATTATTATTATTTCCTTTGATTTCTGGTGTGTACACATTTCTTTCCGGGTCCCGCCCAGAGGCCTAAAGTCAGAAAAACATCATGACATTTTCCACTGACCAATTAAAACACACACACACACACACACACACACACACACACACACACACACACACACACACACATATATATATATATATATATATATAGATAGATAGATAGATAGATAGATAAAGCCCTTCGTTAGGTGTGGGCTGTACTCGTGAGAACAATTTTTTGTATTTCAAATCCCTTCAATGAGTCTACTGGAATCTTTTTCCAACCAATCGGAGGTCTCCAACTACAACAGCAATTGTTGATGTTCTCATGTGCCATATTTTTGAGATTTCGATTTCAAGGTCCTTGTATTTTGATAGCTTTTTGAAAATCTTCAAAGATACATTGCAGTCTTCAGGGATAAGGAGTCAATATATTTCTTTGTGGTCTCTAATAACAATGTTTGGGCGATTAGTTTTGATTGTTCTTCCTCTTCTTCTTCTTCTTCTTCTTCTTATTATTATTATTATTATTATTATTATAAAATTATATAACTGATTAAGCATGATTTCTCTTTTGAAAAACACTAGTTTTCACTTTATGGGATATGCTCCTAACCGCTAATTATAATTTTCATTTTTTCTGAGAATCCTCCATTCTTTTTTTGTTCTTTTTTTACAGAATGTCCTGGTGGAGCTGACTACCCTTGCTCAGACCATGGTTCATGCTCGAGTGGTATGAATGGAACAGGACATTGTTTTTGTCAGACCAATTTTGACGGGGTGGATTGCTCGATGTGTGTAGCCGGATACACAGGACCAAATTGCAGCTCCAGTGAGTTCTTCTAATCTCAAAGACTCCATATTTATTTCTATAAGAAACTCTTTAATGTATTTTATAAGTAATTTGTTATGCATCATCATCATTATCATTCGTACTACATTTCTATAATAATTATTTTGCAGTGTCACTCTGTATTAAATCATTTCATGATCGTTTCATTTGAATGTTTTCAGTCTGTGGAATGTGAGGAAATGCAATTATCCCTGGCTTGGAGATATTCTTAATTATTGATCTGTTTGTTTTTTTTAATCATTTCTCCCCAAGTAAGGCGATAATGTCACTAAGACATTGAAAGAGAAGGAAAAGTAAACCCAATCTTAAACAGGAAGCAAGGGATAAATATTTACTACGATTCAATAGATGGGAAAGGTGTGTGAACCAGGCGATAGATGAACCTATCTACTCATATTGAAAACAAGAAAAGAAAAAATATGATTAATAAAATTATGAAGTTTATGTAGTGAGGTTAGAATTGTTGAGTTAAAGTAAGAGCATGTGCTGTTCAAAGACATGTATTCAGGTAGGAACTGTCGTCCTTTAATAAATTTTAAATCTCTCTCTCTAATAATATCATATAAATCCATTTGTAATGTTATTCACATATTTATTTTTGCATATAAATCATTTTGGAATAATTTGACATAATCAATCATTTGCAATGCAGCTAAAAATTTATCTACAAAGTGTTATGGTCCGGTTCCTTGTACCACGATGATAGCCCAAGATAGAACCAATAAAGAAGAACTCGAAAACGGATATGGAATAACACAGATATATTACAAACAGGAATACATACAGAGAGGTAGAAAAGTGTTAGTACGAACAATCAGGTTTAATAGTAATTGTCTGAACACGACTCTGTTTCGGACTGCCTCTGATTGGACTGACTGACTCGCTCGCTCTGACTGACTGACAGACTCCTGACGGACTTCACTCCAGACTTCAGACTGAACTCCCTGCTTCCTCTTGAAGCGCAGTATTTATTACGTATGGAATAGTCCATTGTGTTATTATGGGTAAGGTCCCATAACACAAAGTATTTGTATAGAAAATTATTTGCAATACATCTCTGTTAAAAATATGTATAGTATAAATGCACCATTGAGGACAATTAAATGCTACAAATGCATTTGTATAGTAATAAGAATACATTTGCAATTTATTTCTATCGTAAATCATTTACAATAATCTCTATTAATAATGCGCATTACTGTTGTAGCATAACTACGGACGATAAACACAGTAGTAAATGCTGTATGTTGGTCTGCAGTTAGAGATTCGTCTCCGGTTGTGCTATGTCGAAGGACAGAGTCTCGTCTCCGGAAACATCTACCTGACCCCGTTTTATACGGTGTCTTACGGGGAAATTTTGGCCGAGCCTACGGGCTTGGATACCCCACATTAAATTCGGCTTTGTACCACATCTGACCGCGTGGGGCGGTTGGTAGAAATCCCGCAGTTGGAGATTCGTCTCCAACTGTGCTGGTGGAACTCTCTGCCTCTGGGCAGAGAGGAGCCCTAGGCGAGGCTATGCCGAAGGGGGGAGTCCCGTATCGGGAAACAGCTACCCGACCTTGTTTTATACTGGGTCTACTGGGAATTTTTGGCTAAGCTTTAGGGGCTTGGATACCCCACATTAAATTCGGCCTTGTGTCACATCTGACAGCGTGGGGCGGTTGGTAGATGTCCTGCAGTTGGAGATTCATTGTGGAATTCACTTGACTCACTCCTAGCTTCTTTTACGAGCAGCTGGCAGATCTTATATGTGTTGTTCGTGTCCTAAGTATTATCGTTCATTACCAGCTTTCATGTGATTATTCTATCCAATATCATTCCCTAGGTTACAACAATTATATAAATGCATAAAAATGCATTTGTAATATGTAATTCACGTCAGGTAATACCAGATGCCTAAGTCAAATTTAATGTCTATCAGGGACACTAATTTAAGAAGAGTCGATCGGTTATGACCGCACTATATACTAGGTTCACTCTGAGAGATACCAAAATAAGTTTTATACTCGGTGTCACCACAGAATGACAGAAGATCTACAATTATAAACAAGGTATCCATTTGAACATAGGATAAACACACACAAGACAGCCGGATAAAAGGATGTTATATAAACAACCGACCTACGAGAGGAGAGATAGAATCCCTCGCATCTTCGAAAGAAGAAGATAGAACATTCAAAGAAAGACCTGAAACCACGTACCATCGATAGGTCGACGGTAATTTAACGCAGTCCAGAAATTAATAAAAAATTCTTTTACTATGAAAAGTTTGAGTCTCGCATTCTCATCAGACGTTACCAATAACACATTAAAAATTGAAACTCTGGAAAAGAGATTATTAGTGGTTAGAAACGAAAGCAAACATTATTGGCGTGACAACGCTGTTATGCGTATAATAATACCTGGCCCATTCTGTCAGAATCAGATTATACCAAAAATGAAGTATCGCTGCAATATCTGGTTTGGTTTGGTTTGGCTTGGTTTGGTTTGATTTGCGGCATATCAACCTCAATGGGTTATTTAATGCCGACAAATTTTTTATTGCTTGTCATATTTTTTTTCCAAAATTGCATTGCTGGTAATATTTTTCTATTAAAATCTATTGCTGGTAAATCTTTTTCATCAAAAGTCTATTTCTGGTAATATTTTTTTCTTCAAAAAATCTATTGCTGCTAAAAATTTTTTCAAAAAATCTATTGCTGGTAATAATGCATTCCTGATAATAATTTTTTTACAAAAATGTATTTCTTGTATTAAAACCTATTTTTACACTTTCATAGTGTTTTGACCCCAGTTTATTTTCTCGGATCCTAAAAGGTGCTACAACCCGGGGTCATGGTGGACCTGGGAACACCAACAATTAAGGGGCAGTTCACGCTCCTCAAAATCTCCTTGCTGTTGGACGTAGTTTATCGTCTTACCCAGGATGCGGTGATTTCTCGTCATACCCAGGACGGTGCAATGTCTGGTCTGGAGCCGATCAATTGCCACTCTCCAGCTTTGATACACTTCAAAATCGTTTATGCCGTCTTGTGACAGTGGGGTGAACTCAACCTTCCACTTTGCAGTCTTGCTTGCCTATCGCGACTCTATCGCTATTTTCATGGCAAATGTTAAGACATGCAGCTAGAAAGCGCCATTTCATCTCCATTTCCTATGTATTCCCATTGTAAGAAGTTCAACTCGGACTGCTTTTTTCCTAAGAAACGCTCCTTTGCGGAACAGACTCCCACGTGGATGCTTCCTTGAACACTACAAGCTTAACCTCTTCATGTCAAGCTCATTATATATCTTCATAATCGTCCTACCACCTCCTCTTACACTCATATCCAACCTGATTCATTATAATCACTTAACAGTAACCCTATACTTTGAGTGGCTCTCAAGCCTTGTATTAGGTTTAGTATAAAAAATATATTATATTTGAAGAATCGGTTCTCTGTCCTTCACGCACTTAGATTATTATTACATACCTTATTCAGTAACCCTCTACTTTGAGTGGCTCTCAAACCTCGTATTAGGTTTAGTATAAAAAAATATATTATATTTGAAGAATCGATTGTCTGTCCGTCACGCACTTAGATTATTATCACATGCCTTATTCAGTAACCCTCTACTTTGAATTTTGTAGTGGGTGAACTTTAGTTTTAAAAATAAATTCACTGCTTTTTTTATTGTTGACAAAAATATCAATGTTTTATTTTTTCAGAAATATTAAATAATCGTATTTCTTTTTAATAAAATAGAGATTTCCCTTCCTTCTAATATTTTTTTTTTATTTCAATTTCTTCTCTTAATTTGTTTATCGACAAAATCTTCTTGCAGAGGCTGACAAATGCGGTTCCTGTGGTCCGAATGCCGAGTGTCACGAGACAATGCAAGGAGAGTTCGTGTGCACGTGCCGGCCGGGTTTCTTAAATGTCTCAGACCGTGGATGTCTTTCCAGCTGCCACGCCGCCAATGGTGGATGTCATCAAAATGCACGTTGCTCCCTGAACTTTTCCGGAAGTGAGGTAAACGATTCCGGAATTGAGGTGAACCTCAAATGCTATTTGATTAATTTATACTGCATCTGATCTCACTGTTACGTCAGCGTTAATGTGAGATATTTGATGACTATTATTAATCCTTGAGTAGTCTCCCTTACATCTGAAAATTTGTTGCCTAACTTTGGAACTATCCAGACCCTTATTCTGTGACCATGAGTAAAGTAGCAATATTATCTTGAATTTTCATTAGATGAAGCCTTACCAACCATTATTCATTTTTTATTACTATTTTTTCTTAATTTTAATTGTTTTTCATTGCGACTAAATGAAAATCAACTAAAAATTTAAGATGGAAGAAATACTAGTAAAAATAATAATTGTTGATAATACTCTATTTAATAAATGATAAAATCGCATCTCTCTATTGGCTCTGTACGTGGACACAACCAATAGAGAGATGTGTCATAGTTTGGATGACGCCATATTTATTGTTTTATACTAAAACAATAAATATAGCGCCATCCAATCTGGAAAAGGTTCATTCTGTGTATATTTGATCTTCATGGAGCTTTTGTAGCTCAATCGGCTGAACAGCTTATTCTATTCAAGCTCTCGAGGCAAAGTTATAAGATTTTGATACTGACGGTACATCCTTTATTTCTGATCGGCTCTACTTTTTATCGACATAGACTGGCGATCTAGATATTTGCGATGAAAAACAACTAAAATTAAAATGAAAGAGATACTGCTCAAACATTGATAATGGTTGACAATCTTTCAACTAACAATAAATACAGTCATGGTGAGATTTGGCAAATTTTAAAAGATTGAATTTATAATGTCTCTTTTGTAATGCTATATATATATATATATATATATATATATATATATATATATATATATATATATATATATTGTGGCAATCAATCTTTTTTGCAAGTTTCGTTAAAAACTACAGACAAAGTGCTGTGGTTAATTTTTGATATAATTTTTCATGTATTCTTATAAATCAATCCATATATTCAGTAAAAGTGAAATAAAATTCATCTTTGGTGATGGATAAAAGTATAGCCCAAAACGCTTCTATATATAAAAGATTTGGATAATTTTATATAATTTATGACCTAAAAAGAAAAAAATTATAAGAACACATCAAAATTATATAAAAGAAATAACCACAGTACCTTGTCAGTCGTTTTTAACCGAAACTTGCATATACATATATATATATATATATATATATATATATATATATATATATATATATATATATATATAGTAAGGTAATGAAGGGTTTGATAATCCGTATGGATAATTCCGAAGAGGATGTAATCCAGAGAGCTCATATATATATATATATATATATATATATATATATATATATAGAGAGAGAGAGAGAGAGAGAGAGAGAGAATATCATATCAAACGGCAAATTCCACAAACGCCCGGTTTTGGAATTTGACGTTTCTTTACAGATCGTTCCAAAACTGAACGTCTACAAAATATTAAGAAAGATCAGAATTACGACCATTTATTTTTTTTTTATTACAAACAAGAAATATCACAAAACTAAGCGTTTCACTTTTTCGGTTTCTGCCGGGAAAATCTGCCTCGAAAGATACATGATCGCCTAAGCGTGTATTATGCATGGCACATAATTGATTGACTGTGTAATTACGTCTATCTCGATTCATCTAGAAATCCTTGAATTTGTCTTCCGAAGTTCCCGTGCATTTGTTTTCATTACCACTTCTGCTTTCTCGTTTTAGACCCTCCTGCTTCGCAATCTCCCACCCCGCATGATAGGGTTTTTTTTATATAGACTTTGGCTGTTATTATGTTGGTGTTGGACGTACAAAAAACTTCTCACACCTCAGCAACCTTTCGGAGAATCCTCGAGGAGTAAACGATGACAATTTTCTGGAGATCTACCATCTTGATCTCAATTTTACTTTTCCCTCGGGACTGTTTCACTTCTCTTGGTAGTGGTATATTTTATTATTATTATTGTTTTGTTTCACGGTTTAAGTTTTTCAATACACCGGATACAATCTGTTAAGTCACAACATGGGCCTCAGACAGATTACACTTTCCTCAAAATGTGTGAAGTGCCCAAATTTTTCGATGACTCCAAGTTCGTATTGTATCCCCAGATGGTCAAGGAAGTCACACAGATTTAATGGGATTAATCCCAATGCTCCAATCACCACTGGAATCACCTTGAAATCCCCTTCCTGTATCCCAAACAATCTTGCCACCTCAACTTTCAAATCAGAGTAGTTTGTAATCTTATCAATCACCTTGTTTGCTATATTTGTGTCATTTGGTATGGCGACATCAATAATATGACAGTTCTTGGCGCCTTTATCTCGCACAATAATATCCGAACGGCGATAATATATCACTCTGTCTGAAAATCATAGTCCCAGAATATTTTGGGCTTTCCAACTTCATTTGTTCTTTCTTCAAGGCACATGGCTGTACCAATTTTCGGCCCCACTTGGTATCCATACTATGGACGTGATAACCAATCTACATAAAGGCATGACTTATCATGGTGCATCTTATATGCCTTTTGAGTTGGCATTTTGCAATCACTGACCAGGTTCACCACAAAGCCTACATTTTGGGGTGAGTGATGCTTTGTGCATATGGTATTTTATGGCATTAGTAGCAAGGACTTGATCATGTGCTGCAATTACGAAGCTTTCTGTTGCACCTTTCAGATCACCACATCGCAGCCACAGCCACGATATTTATTATTATTATTATTATTATTATTATTATTATTATTATCATATGGATTTGTATGTGTGCAGATGACGTAAGAGATTTTAGCATTGAAAATGTAATTGGCAGGTCGAGTTCAAATTCTGGTTTACTCAGTTGCGTTCATTTTAACACTAATACTCCTAGGAAAGGCGTGATTCCATCTCCTCTTCCTCCAGCCTAATAGTTAAATAGCAGCCTGGCCTTTGATGGCAGTCAGCCTACGAGAAGGACAAGTATAAGTTTACAGCCGTAGAGTGCTCAAAGGTAAACCATTCCATTATCTTTTCCAAAAATACATAACATCTACCTATTTAATATTAATGAAAAAACATTTTCCTTCAAATTACTTCCCTTAGAAATTCACACTTATCTAGTGTCATTTATAATTTTTCAAATTAGTCTGTAAATTTTTTCTTCGGGACCGCCATCAGCTGCCTCTCGCTTTCTCTTTATTCTCGTCTATAATCTCAAATGTTGACTTCAGTTTGGAGAAAAGTCAGAAGAGTTGTAGGAGTAGGAGCGGTTTGAGATACCAGGGTGAGGCAATATTTTACCAAGAAAACGCAGCACATTACACAATTTCCCTCAATGGCGTCACAATGCCGATTGAATAACCAACGGAAGAGGTTCCGTTCAGACATGATTAGTAAGATAATTAGTAAAGACTCTTCATAATGGCTTGATGCGTTTCGTAAATGTCTGCTTTTCTCGCTTGGATGATGTTGTCGGGCTGGATCTCAGTATTCCCGTGTATCTTATTGTTTGTATTTTTGACAACAATCCTTTGTTTGTGTTGAAGCAACATGGTTTGTACAGTTCTCAATTTATGATTGTCCCACCTGTTTTTATATTCCTTTTGAAATTTTATTGTAATTAAATGTGAATTTGTTTGCGTGCGTGGGATATATGTCATGTCTGTATTGATGTATGATTGTGTAACGTTGTGTGGATGGGTACGGCTAGAAATATTTTACTCATATTTAGTAAGCTTAAGGTAAGTATCACGCAAAATCAGAAAAACAGTGAGCGAATCAGGAAGGAAAATTATGTAATGCCATTATTATTATTATTATTATTATATTTTATTTTTAACAGATACCCTCTGTTTTGTGCACCTGTCGAGATGGTTACTATGGAGACGGCAAAAAATCGTGTCTTCCAATTGTCAACCTTTGCAATACAAACAACGGAAATTGTTCTCCGCGCGCCATTTGTACATTTACGCCTCCTACCGGTGAGATTTTGCGAAATGTTTTTATTTCGTTTTCAGTGTCTGAGCACCCACCACGCACACACACACACACACAAACACACACACACACACAGAGATATGTATGTATTGAGGCATGTATTGTTAAAGACTACGGAACTTTTCCGTTTAATAATTTTTTCTTGCTTTCTCGCAATTTTTTTTTTTTTAATATTTGGATCTAAATTGTTGACAAAAGATCCTAGTCCTTTGTGTTTTGCTTTCGGTTGTCGTCAACCGTCATCATGGCTGTAAGTTTCGGTTTGAAGTTGGTTGCTTATTATTTTATTTTATAGATAATATTTTGTGTATTTAGTGAATGTAGTTGGATTAGTTCATTAGCAATTGGGGGGAGGTTGGTATTTATTATTTGGAGGTTTAGTTATTAAATATGTTTAAGATGTTGCAGCAAGTATTGTTTTTTTGGATTTTAATTGTGATGGCTTCAAGAAATTGTAAGCGTTCTTTTGCATTATTAAACAGAAAAATTCCGTAGTCTTTAACAACACATGCCTCAATAATGGCATGCTGCCAATATATATATATATATATATGTGTGTGTGTGTGTGTGTGTGTGTGTATGAGACAGCGATATATATTTTTATTTATCAAGAACAATATTGGGGGAAATGTATGACAAAGTGGAAAAATTTTAAAAAAAAAATAATTTAAATTTAAAATTCCCAGCCCCACCCTCGGTCAGGCGCATGTGTCGTCGTACTAACATAACAAATTTAGTTCGATGAATCCTTAAAGGACGAAACGCGTCACACGAAAACTTTTTTCCACTTTGTCATACATTTTGTCAATTCAAAAGTTTTAAGCCACCACCACCACCAAGAAAAAATTGGCATGGGAATAACTTGACAGAGGAGTGAAAAAAAATGAAAAAGAGCTCTTAAAGTCATTAAAAAAACAATGGAATCAATTATCAAATTTATACTTTAAGAAACTTTTACAACGAATGCCAAAATTTTGTACTGCTGTAATCAAGCCTAAAGGGGGATATTTTGATGAGAGCAAAATTTAATAATATTTTTATTCTTTGTGTCATAATAAAATTTCTAATAAAAAGTCATGTCTCACTTTTTTTAACCATGTAACAATCTTCTCTTAATTAATGTACAAAACAACTACTTTTAGGGCCAATTTAAAAATTACCAGAGATGGCCTCAAACTTTTGAACTGTATATACAAGAGAAAGAAAAGATGAAGAGGTACAACGTAGTACCAAAACACGAAAGCTAAAGTGTAGCGATTTCAACATGTTTTTATTCTAATATCTTATAATATATATATAAATTATATATTATATATATATATATAAAATATATATATATATATATATATATATATATATATATATATATAGTTTATATTTAGGATAAGTATTAATTTAAACAAGTTGTGTTAAATTCAACTGACAAAGTTTATTTTGTTATTGTATTTTCCAATTTTCGAATAAATTGTTGCACATTTGTATCAAAATTGTCGGTAAACAAAACTCAACACTCCTCTATAAAGCTCTCTGAATATTAAGAGAGATACACAGTGTTTCTGCTTCGAGGTGATATGCCCAACTAGTTATAGTCAAACAATCGACAAGCAGAACTAGCGAACAGAACAGATATTTACTGTAATCCATCTTAACTCATCAAAACGAAACATGTACATGATAATACCTCTAATTAATAAAGATCAGGAGTTACGAGAGTAGACACCTCACTAAGGATACATGAAAAAAGTTCAAAATTTAATAGAAATAAAAAATTTTATCGTCAAAATGTGTCATTATTAAGAGGAAAGATTAAAGGATTTTTATCTAAATTTTTTATGGGACTAATTTTGGTTAAAAAAAGTTTTTTTTTTCTTGGCATCCAAATTGAATTTGCACGGGGAATTTGAGTGTTTTTTTCTGTGACAAACATTTGGAAATACTTTCAAAAATCAGATCATTGTCAAATTTTATTGAAATTTTAAGATTTATTGCTAAATGAATGAAGTTATTTTTAAACGTTTCTCTTTTAGAAAGTTTTTAGAAAAGTATATTTTTTATAATCTGTTACCATACCTACCTCATTAACTTTTTATGAAATTTCGTGAATTTTTTTTTTATATCACAAAATACCCATATTTGTTATAGGGCAATCCTCGGAGAATTTAAATCATCACATTTTTTATTCAAACAGACAACGAGTTGCATAAAGTCTGCCTGAATCGTATAATAAAAATTCAATAAAACTAGGATTTTTTTCTTACAAAAGCCGTTGCTGTATTTTATGAAGAAAATATTAACACTATTGTCGTAAAAAACTTTTCGTTGAATAATGAATTTTTACAAGAATTGTTTTCATCCTTTTTTAAATCAATTAGATTAATATAAAAACCTTTAAATCTTTTAAAATTCTGTATTAATTTGTATTGGCTATCTGATCTTTTTATTAAATTATTTGTTAATCATAAATAGAAAAGTGCACTACAATTCATCGAGAGCCAGTATTTTAAAAAGAATCTTGATTTTGTGTGTGTGTGTGTGTGTTAACAAAAAATAGTCAAATAATTTGCTGTGTCCTCTCAGGACGTAGGTGATCATGTCTCTCCACAATTTCCTGTCTCTTTTAACTTTTTTGTTTTACAAAGAATACGCAGCATAGGACGTGAACAATTTACTCTCTCGGCCATTGAGATTACAACGGTCACACAAGTTCATTCAATCCTGTCGCAATGTCGATTGAGTAACCCCACGGAAGTGGTTCTGTTCCACATGCTTGGTAAGGCTTTAAATGCAGCGTTTAAACCAGGGCAACTGGATCTTGAGATGTTAAAATTGGCTGGATACACTTCATAGATACGGTATAGATACGTGGATGGAGTATTGGTCATTGACACAGAATGTGACTTCAGCGCTCGTTTCTGTTTCGTTCACCTTCCGCTAATGCCATTGGCAAAGGCATGAATCTATCTTCCCCCAGGTATGGATTAAATATCAGACTGTATAGAATTAAAGTTGAGCCAGTGTAAGAAGGAAAACTCTGAATTCCAAACCAGTAACTGAAGAGGGATAGACACACCAATGCTGTTCTGGCTGCAGTAGACGCGGTGGTCTTACAACTAAAGAAGACGTACAATTTTCAGAAGCGTCATTACTATTCGAATGGTTTCTCGAATATTGATTTCATTATTACTTTTTCTTTGTTTTTTTTTGTTTTGTTTTTTTTTTTTTTTTGCAAGATAACTTAATAACAATATCACAGGTCGTCTGAAAAATAAAAGGACACCAACTCGCCTAAAAACTGTGGAGGGGGTTCTCCCCTATTTACACAAATGGACTCACCCAGAGTATACATATACTACTGCTGGGATAACGAACGAAAGTAGTGAGCAAGGGTCACAGTCAGCGAGCACGTAGACTCAGTAAGAAAGTAATACCGCAATACGTCGAGACTGGATGTTCAACCAGGGTTATAGTCGAGTCCAGACATAGAGATATCTACGGCCTCAATTACAAAGACTATATATATATATATATATATATATATATATTAACCCGCATTCCTGGAACTACTAACCTGCATTACCAGTTTGTATAATTACGTTAATACATTTATTTTCCTATATTCATTGCGTTTGTTATTTATTGGTACCGGATTTCATCTCGAATCCACAATAAAAACAAATTTAAAACAGTGATAAAAATTTTAATTAAAAGAATTTAATAAAATTTTCCTTTTTCAATCTTTTAACCTCCAGTTATATTCTGTTTCTGTTGTAACTTAGGGAAGGTTAGTGAATAGAACAATCACACGAAGTTTGGTAATGAACGATAAATACTGAGGACACGAACAACACATATAAGATTCGCCAGTGGCCCATAGAAGAAGAGTCAAGTGAATTTCACAATGAATCTCTAACTGCAGGATATCTACCAACCGCTCCATACGGTCAGCTGTGGTACAAGGTCGAATTTAATGTGGGGTATCCGAGCCCTTAGGCTCGGCCAAAAATTCCCCGTAGGCCCTGTATATAACGGGGTTGGGTAGCTGTTTCCCGAGACGAGACGCTGCCCTTCGACATAGCCTCGTCTGGGAATCCTCTCTGTCCGGAGAAGGAGAGTTTCACCAGCACAGCTGGAGACGAATCTCTAACTGCAGACCAGCATACAGTATTTACTTCTGTATTTATGCGAATGAGAACATACCTATTTACGTCCGTGGGTATGCTACAACAGTTTCCAAGCATGATGTTTTGGGAAAAAATCATTTTTATTCATCAAATAATTGTTAATGTAATATTCAATCGCAAAAAAAACAGAACCGATAAAGGGTTGATAACACATAATATTTCTACTTTCACATCGCCATTTGTTACAGTCCCGCTCTTTAATGTCAATGTTATAAATGTTACATTTGTATAAAAAAAAATCTAACACCTCGTTAACTTTTTCGAAAAAAAAAACCGTATCAAGGATCAAACATTTCAGATAAGTTGGCCCTTTTTTCAGTCGAGTTAGCACCTTGACATTAGTCGAAGTGTTATTCGGAATGGCGTTTGCATGATCTTTTAATTGCTGTTTATGTTGCAATATGACTCATCCCACACCTGGGTCAAATTAGTTTAATTGGCTCTTGTCATTTTTCTTTCAGTGACAGACAAATCGGCAGGAAAAGTAACATGCGAGTGTCACGAGTCCTACCTTGGTAACGGTACAACATGTAACAGGGACATCTACAACACGTTGCAATTCATGCCAAATATGTATAGGTTTTATGAAGTAAGTATAAACATTATCTCTTTGATTTAATAATAAATTTCTCCATCAGTCCTCCTATATGACAGTAAATTCTGGATAATCTCCTCGCAAAGATACTCGAGGCAACGAAAATCTGGTTCTACAGAAGGATGCTGAGTATATATATATATATATATATATATATATATATATATATATATATATATATTATGAAATGGAAAAAAAGTCCGACAATTATTTTAAGACATTTTTATGTTTATACATTCTTTTTATAGATACAAATATTTAAAGTAAATGCTCTGTTTATAATAAACAAATAGTATTAACCAACATTTACCGGACATTCAGGCCGGTAAATGTTGTTTAATACTGTTTACCACGAAGTAATGAAAAGTTCGAAGCCCGACTAAGAGGCCCTTAAAATTCTTTTTCTACTATTACTGCTACTAATAATAATATTCATAAGCTAGTTTGAATCCGTGAAAATTTAATTCTTCAGTTAATGATTGAATAAGCTCATTGCGAGTTCTACAAGAATAAAATATCCGTAGAAATCCTCTTATTACATCGTTAAATATTTGAACTTAATAAATTTTAAAAAATATTGCAATAATAAACATAAATATGAGTGATGTACGTTATTTTAAGAAGTGGGTACAAATGAAAAGATTTGAAACTGACAATTTTTTCCATTTCACTAAAACAGGCGTTATACACTTCTTTCTTTCTTTCTTTCTTTCTTTCTTTCTTTCTTTCTTTCACGGAAACAAAGTAGTGTGTTTTTCCCTTGTTTCCACGCGATAAAAACGGAATAGTCCATTATTTATGAGGTATTGGTAGGGCATAATGTTGATGTTTGGTCAAATGGCTAAATCGCTGAAAGTGGGTCGGACCAAAAAACAATCCCCTTCGTGCAGTGAGAATTTCAGATCAAAATTCAGCTTTGTTAGGCTACGAACTTATTGATCAACCCTTCTCTTGTTTTGGACCCTTTTTTAAATTTATAAACGAATTTAATCTTTGTGAAAATGTAACCGTTCATTTCATTGCAGTTGATATCTGCCGGTTCGAAAAGCGACAAGTATCATGACATTCTGGTTGAATTACTGGAAGATTTGCAGTCGAACATCACGATTTTTGTGCCTATCAGTGGACTAGCAAACTTACAGGTGAGTTGCATTGCTGTCAATTATTGTAACGAAAATCGGGATTTTATTTCGTGAAATGCGTTTTATGATGCACATGTGGGTTGGTCAAATATCTCCATCTTGTGATGTGTTTAACAAAGTGTTAGTCTCTGATAGGAATCTACCCCAAGTCTCCTGAGGATTAGAGATAATTTTTCACAAAAGACAATCATAAGATAACAAATTATATATATATATATATATATATATATGTGTGTGTGTGTGTTATTTATTTATTTTAGGATATTAAAACAAAAACATCTTAAAAATCGCTACATGATTGCAATCATGTTTCAACACCACAAATGTGTCTCCACGGGCGATGTCAAACCATATTATCATTTTACCTATATATATATATATATATATATATATATATATATATATATATATATATATATTATCCCTCACCGCTAGTACGACTCTGAGTTTCATGCACAATGCAATCTTCTGTTGCTGAGTATGGACTGACCGTTACGCAACCATCAATTTATTTCTCTTGTTTAATAAACTAGGGTTATTTCATTATTTTAAGATAACCAATTTTTCAACATGACATAAGTTACATTTATTTCCTTTTCCGTTTTCTTCTTACACACATAATTTAATTGACAAATATAATTTCTAAATTAAAAAAAAACTGTGACGGTCAGTTCATACTCAGCAACTGAAGATCGAGTTGTGTTACCGGTGAGGTATAATATGTATATTTATTAATATATACTTAATAGCTCTGTTTTAATATATCGAGCACTGTTTTATTAACACCAGCACTATATGTGCAATATAGTATAATTATATATATATATATATATGTGTGTGTGTGCGTGTGTGTGTTAGTCTGTTCCTCATCCAGCTATCTCAAACAGTAAACGTAGGTAGCAATCTTTCATTCAAATATTTTATTAAAAAGAACGTACAATAAAACTTTGTTGAGCTGTTTGGTGAGTTTTTCCACGTTTCGCATAAGCCGTTTAATGTTTGGTGGAAACTCGTAAAGGAAGTTGCCAAAATTGTGTATAATCCTCCAAGTAATTTCGACTATTGTTAATCATTTTAAAAAAAATGATAAAATGAGAGATAACAGTGGAGCTGTTATGTTTTTAACGGTCCTGAGTTTGAAGTGAACATGGGTTCACATGCTCTGGTCGTAGGATAGATTTTAGCGTCACGTGACTAAAATTACATTACTCTTCAAAGACATTTTAATACATGCACGCAGAGATTAAATCAAACAGCCGTCTTTTGATGTGAATAGCGTAAGATTTTTTTTATCGTTTTCTGCATTGGAATAGGCAGAGTACTGATGCATTGTTGACCATAACCTGAGAGTAATAAGAAGGGATGTAATGGATTTCTATTGAATTTTTTCTATGGTGCTTTCTTCGAAGAGGTGATAGGTTACTCTTTTCAAAAGGAATGTGATGTGGCCCTTATATTATTATTATTATTATTATTATTATTATTATTATCGACAGAGATGCTGTTTGGTTTGAGTGAGAAGAAATAAAATATATACAGGGTGCAGCGAAAGTAACGCACTTTGTTCTTTATCGACTTAACAAAAATAAATTACAGTAGCTTAGGAAATTTTATAAGAATTGTCAAATAAAAACAACAGGATTTGTTATGATTAACAAACTATGTAATATATTGAAAATGCTCGCCTTCATGTTCAGTACAATAATGGACCCTAAGAGCAACACTTCAACAAATCATTTGATACATTTCTACATTAATTTCAGAAAATCTATCAGAAAATGCATTTTTTTAATTCGGGAATTGTTTTCGATTTGTGCATGTAGACAAGATTTTTGAGTACACTCCACAAGAAAAAATCTGGTAGTGTTAGTTCCGGTAATCGTGATGTTTACTCAATTGCACCACGTCTCCCTAACCACCTCGGCTCGAAACAAAGGGCGTTACTTTGCCGTACCCTGTATTTTATTTTCTTCCGTTTTTACTCAAAATGAAAACAGAATGGTCCCTTATTTACGTTCTAATAATTAGTAATGCATATGCAAACTGACTAGCTAACAAACGAACAGGCAGAATTATAATATATAATCTTTCATTTTTTTTTTATCTTTGATATAAATTGTTAAATAATTTGTTGTTGTTTTTTTGTTTTGTTTTTTTTTTCATTGACAGAATATTTCTAACTTGGATCTGGAAAATCACATTCTGTTATCAAAGATTTTAGTCAGCGCTGTTCCAGGCAAGAAATCATACAAAACTTTCGCTGATCAACAGATCGAAGTGGAAACAGATTCTTCTGGAAAGGTACAACGCAAAACCAATCAATTTAAATCTTATCAAGCTTGACTTAGCATTTACTATTCTAAGACACACTGTTTTCCTTTTGTCCATATTTTTCGAAAATTCTATTTTCTGAAAGAAAATAAAACCTGATGCAATATCATTTCCACTACTGCCCGAAGCAATAACGAAAAAATAATAAGAATGCAAATCCAATTCAATTATACAAGGAAAAAATATTTATTAATAAGCAACTAAACAAGGGTGCTTGCAAAACTTCGTCCCTTTTTTGCTGAGAATAGGATAACCTATTCTCTGACTAACAAAATGAAAAAAATACCAGAAAAATAAATCTACAATGCACAAGACAAAATAATAAAAAACTGAGCTCACCTACTGTGTAAATGATAAGAAAAAAGAGCTTTTACTCTATAGTAAATGATAAGAAAAAAGAGCTTTTCTTTATATATTTTCTTTTCTTTCTTTTGGAGACAAAGTTCTTTTTTCATTGGTGACCAAACTCCTCCGGCCTTTTTTCTTATTTTCTTCCCGTCCGAATGGAAAGTTCGTCTTTCTTTTACTATACGGCCATGGAAGGGGAAAACTTCCTTAAAACATGCGGTAGTACAACTTCTTGTAACAGCATGAGGCTGATTCTTCTTCTTCTTCTTCTTCTTCTTCTTCTTCTTCTTCTTCTTCTTCTTCTTCACTATAAATGCCTTTAGTCCCAAACAACACTTTGGGACTTCTCTGTTCTTTCTTTACATTAAACTTTGTAACGTCCAGCTCTTCTTTTCTGGGGCTTCTTCGAGAGGACTTCTTAAACATTCTCTGAAGACTTAAAGGGAAACTTGCCTTCAGCAATGTTGTTACCTATGCATTCTTTACTTTTGAGAATTGCGGCATGCCATTTTAGCATGGAGAGAGAAACAAACCTCCTATTCATAAGAGGTATATCTTCCAACTGCCTGCTACTCTCCAGTAGCATTTCTCCCTACCCCTTCAAAGGGGACGATTGACATTTGAACTGTCCAATCACAGCCCATAAAAAATATTAGCAAGTTCTTCGGGCCAATAACACAGTGAGAGTCTTTCTTTTTTCTCCCTTCACCTCAAAATCTTCAAATATTGAGTGCAAGACTATTCCAGAACATATATAAGTAAAGATCCGATTTTAAGTGATAAATTATGGTGATTTTCAAAGATTTTATAGCGCTAATCTCTTTTTGGTACTAAGAATGGCATTCTCATCATAAAAAAACGGATATTCGAAGTTTTAACCGCGATCGAATCCCAAATGTTAGGAGGAAAACGTTAATTTCTGTTTTAAAAATTAATAAATCATATAAAATAAATTAAAATAAAATATAAAAATTTTCCATTTAATTAGTTATATCTGTCTATCTGAATATTCATATAAAATCATTTGGTAAGAATTTTAACAAACATTAGGTTTATTTCTTGTTCCCAGACAATCCTTTATTCCTGTTTTTCCATGCAATTTTATAATAAAATCATTAGCAATGTTTCAATCCTTCACAATGGATTTTAATTAGCACGACTATATGTCCAGCCACGTTTGAAGAAAAAAAAGAAACCTTTTTTATTTTAAAATTAAAAATTTTAAAACTAAAATATTTTAAATTTAGTATTCCCACATTTTCAGCGCTTCCGCACGGTAAATAATTATAACCGACATTTACGTTTATAACCGCCTACCACCTACACATATATAAACTTCTATCAATTAGAACATTACTTTATTCTGATGAAGTCCTTTTAAAGGGTGAAACGCGTTGCACTTACAGATTTTTCACACTGTCATTCAATTGCCCAATATATATACATGTATGTGTGCGTGTATTTAGGCAGCAATCTTTCTTTCATGCACATTTCATTGAATACAACAGACAAGGTGCTTTGATTTAGTTTTTTATACAATTTATCATGTGATCTAATAATTTTATTCTTTTCGGTTGATAAATTATATAAAAACTGTCCAATTATTCTTTTTATCCGAGCGCTTTCAGCTATACATTTAGCCATTTTTAAGGTTGAAATATGTTAACTGTTAAGAAGAAATATATTGTTGTATGTATGTATTTATATAATGTTTTTATTTTCAAAACACGGTCAAGATATTGTGTCCATGTTCATAGTTGATATTATTGAGTGTTGTTTTTTTGTTTTTATTAATAAGGCTTCCATTATTTTAAGCCTTTTTTGCATGTAGATGATGCTATTATATTTGTGTTGTCAACAGGTATGTTACGAATAGAGTCAATTAGGTCTCGTTTAAATACTCATGGAGACCTGCCGAGCCCTCTTCATAACATACTTTTTGACAGCACAAAGCAATGTAAATTCTAATGTTTGGTCAAATTTTGACACGTGGAACGGGCCGAAAACTTGTTGTCACTACATGAATTTCTGCGATCATTTTGCAACAAGTTAACGATCAGAGAGAAAGAGGAAATATTTTCGCCTCTCAGTTGCTTGATTTCTGTTTGTTTCTATTTGCAGCAATATGTGATACAAGAATCGATCAACAAAATCAGAATAATCGAATCCAATATATTGAACTTTAATGGATATATCAATTTAATCGAGAGTCCGTTGTGGTATGATTATGAGATTCCAAAAACGGTGAGTTTCCAAATTACTTTTTCTTTGACCCGACTGAATCTTCCAGAAATTATCTATCTATCTATCTATCTATCTATCTATCTATATATATATATATATATATATATATATATATATATATATAAATTCCTCGCATTAATAGTCAAGCATTTTCCTAGTGAAAGTAAACTAAGTACTATTTTCAATAAAAACACACTAAAATTAAGTTATAGCTGTACAAAAAACTTAGAAAAAAAATCATTAAGAACCATAATGCTAATATCTTAAATAAACACTTATACCAAAACCAAAAAGTTTAAACAATGGAAAAATTAAGATAAAAAACTGATGGAAATAAACAAAAAACTATGTAACTGTAGAAACCCTCAAAATTGCCCACTACAAAATAAATGTCGCACTGAATCATTAGTATACCAATGCAATATCTCTTCGATTGAAAGTCCTGATAACATAAAAAATATATATAGGTGGCACTAGCCATGAATTCAAAAAAAGATTCAACCAACATCAAACTTCATTTAGAATAAATAGATATAAAAAATCAAACATCTCTCTCAAAATATTTCTGGCATCTAAAAGAATCAAATAAAACACCTACAGTAAAATAGAAGTTAATAAGAAAAGCTAGAATTTGTAGATCATTAAACGACCCGTGTCCTCTATGCATACAAGAGAAATTATATATTACTAAGTTTATAAAAAATAAAAATTTACTGAATCAGAGAAATGAAATAGCTATTATATGCCGTCATTGTCAAAAATTTTCCTTAAATAATATATAAAAAAAAAAGTCTATTGGAATGGCAGTGAAAATATTTTAAACTTGTATTTAAAATTTAAAACTGTAGTTAAAACGTATTCAAACATAAGCATCTTTTAAAAATTGTAGTTAAATAAAATGTATGCTAACCGAAACACCTCTATAATAAATGTACTACAGGCACTTAAATGAATCCAATAAAACACCTACTGAAAAATGAAATTATAACAAAAGCTAGATGATGTAAGGTAATGTATGATCCATTGTTCTTTGTACAAACATATGAAACTTTATTACTCAGGTTACATATATTTAAAATAAATAAATGAATTAATTAATACATAAAGTTTACTAAATCTGAGAAATGACTTAGATAGTTTTGTAGTCTGTGCCATTTATATTACTTAAATAATATTTAAATATGATAGTTTAAAAATTGTAATTTACATATACTTTGATATGGAAAAATAATTTTACTTACTATGAGTAATTATCCTTCTGTTATAAAGTAATATAGTCTATTAAAACTAACAATGAAAATATTTTAAAATTTTAAGTTGTAATTTTAAAATTGTAATTAAAATTGTAGTTAAATAAAATGAATTCTAACCTGTTCTTTTTACATACATATCAAACATTATTACTTAGGTTACATATATTTGAAATAAATAAATTAATTAATTAATAAAGTTTACTAAATCTGAGAAATGACTTAACTAGTTTTGTAGTAAGTGCCATTAATATTACTTAAATAATATTTAAATTTAAAAGTTTAAAAATTGTAAATTACATATACTTTGATATGGAAAAATAATTTTACTTACTATGAGTAATTTTCCTTCTGTTATAAAAGTAATATAGTCTATTAAAACTAAACAATGAAAATATTTTAAAATTTTAAAGTTGTAATTTTGAAATTGTAATTAAAATTGTAGTTAAATTGAATGAATTCTAACCTAAATTTCTTTTAAATAATACTACACGCACTAAAAAAGAATCCAAAAAAAAAGCCTATAGTAAAATAAAATTAATATGAAATGCCATAAGATGTAAGCTTTTGAATGACCCATGTCCTTTGTACTTACATGAGAAACATTATATTACTAGGTTTATATATAAAATAAAAGTTTACTAAATCAGTGAAATTAAGTTACCATTTTTGCCGTCATAGTCATAAATTTAAAAAAAAAAAAAATAATAATAAAAAAAATGTAACCTCATATACATACTTAAACTTGATGTTAAAATAATCCTACATAATATAATGGATTTTAATACATTTAACTGTTCTTAAAAAGAATATTGTATAATAAAAATTAAAAAGGAGAATATTTCAAATCGTAGTTAAATAAAAAGTATTATGATCAAAAAACCCCGAAAATCTTTAAATTTATAAAAGAAAAAAAATGACGTTGAAATTTTTTTACCGTTAACAATAATTTTTTTTTTTTAAATCCAGACGACATCCATTCAACTGATGTCAGGTTTCATTGTAAAATACATCCCTACCCCTTACCAAATTGTAGCTAATAACTGATACAATGATACTGACATAAGGAAAATCTAGACATCCCTTGTTCAATTTAAGTAGAATATTCTGTAACCATGGAAACGTGATTTTAGCTGTGTCTTTAAAACCCGGTAATTTTTAAAAGTTACTCCAAAATTCGCTTGAAGATGAAATGGTACTAATGCTTTTAATTTAATTGCAAAATTAAATTCGGGGTTTTTAGCCTCTATTTTTGAAACATGGTTGGAACTGTGTAGCGAAAAAAAAAACATATTTTAAATCAATTACTTTATAATATTAATGCTCTGTAAATTTACATTGAGCACTATTTTATAAAAATAAAAATATCTATAACAACACCGGATTTTATATCTTACTGTTCTTTCTTTATATATATATATATATATATATATATATATATACTAAAATAATGATTAACTTAGTGTAAGATAAATTTTCCTTTTGTCTTTTGCGATCGTCATCGTGAAACCCAGGGTCATATATATATATATATATATATATATATATATATCTTTACTTATTATAAAACGCAGATTGTGTGTGTGTGTGTGTGTGTGTGTGTGTGTGTGTGTGTGTGTGTGTTGTATGTGTGTGTGTGTCTGTAACGTTTATATATTGGATTTTTCAACTTTTTCAACTGATTTCAACAAAACTCCACAGGAGTACATAAAATTACCTTGTGGTGGTTCTAACAGCGCCCCAAATGGGAAAAATATAATTGCACAAAATCAATTTGAAAACACGATTAAGAGACATCGTGAAAATGGATGGGGGGCAACTCACATCGGGTTGTTTGTGTGTGTGGGTTCCTTTAAATATAGGATCGGATTTCCTATATTTTTCAGCCGATAAAACAAAACTTCACTATTTTTTTTTTTGGCAGGTAGTGTTTCTTATTCTCTTGCACACTTTTTTCTTTATTTTTAATATTCAGAATGCTTTAAAAATTCCATTTACAAGACAATTATTTATAATAAAATTCTATTCAATCAGTAGACTCATAACGATTGAAAACAATGTTTTTGTTTGAGTTTGACCAATTAGTAAAAAAAAAAAAAAAAACTAATTAAGACATGCGTGTCCGTCAACCCTAAACAATAATCTAACGATCTCTACTGATTGTACGAGTACAAACATCGGATAAATTCTTTATCTTTAGGGAAATATAATGAAATCTAAACATACACAAGTCCTAACTAAAAATAATTACCGGAACGGGAAACTACTTTAAATACACATGGTGTCCAATGTTTTTACTGTATTCAATAAGTAAAAATCATAAATTGTAAAATATTATTATTACAGAAAGGCTACTAAATGAATAAGATTTGTTAGATCATAATTAATAAACCCAAATAAAGTTAATATTTTTTGTATTAGAAACAACGAGTGGAAAATATATTCAAATCAGAATTCTAATTATGAATCACCACAAGCAAAATATGCAATTTTTTTACTGTATTCAATAAGTAAAAATCATAAATTGTAAAACTAAAAGATTACAGAAAGGCTACCTACATTTTTCAACCGATTTCAACAAAACTTCACTTTTTTTTTGGCATGTAGTGTTTCTTATTGTCTTGCACACTTTTTTCTTTATTTTTACATTCAGGATGCTTTAAAAATTCCATTTATAAGACAATTGTTTATAATAAAATTCTATTCAATCGGTAGAGACTCATAACGATTGAAAACAATGTTTTTGTTTGATTTTGGGTTTGATCAATTCGTAAAAAAAAAAAAAATAATAATTAAGACATGCGTGTCCGTCAACCTTAAACAATAATCTTTGTCAATTTTATTTTTCAGTCTTTATGATGGTGGATACTTGATCTATCTCTTACTGTTATATCACCGGGCAACGCCGGGCTCTACTGCTAGTATATATATATATATATATATATATATATATATATGTGTGTGTGTGTGTGTGTGTGTGTGTGCTTATGTGTGCTTATGTGTGCATATACATTTATATATATGTTTGTGCGTGCGTGCATATATATGTGTGTGCTGGTTTGCTTTTGTGCATATATATATATATTTGTATGTGTTTTGTGCTTGCATATATATGTATATATATATGTATCGGTGCGTGCGTATATATATATATATATATATATATATATATATATATGTGTGTGTGTGTGTGTGTGTGTGTGTGTGTGTGTGTGTATGTGTTTTATGCGTGCATTTTTATGTTGGTGTTTGTGCGTGTATATATATGTATATATATATGCGCGTGTTTGTGTGTGCATATATATATGTATATATATATATATATATATATGTGTGTGTGTGTGTGTGTGTGTGTATGTGTATGCATGTTTGTGCGTGCATGTATGAGGATATGTGTCTGTCTTTGTGAGTGCATATTTTTTTAATCATTTCACCCTAAGCAAGGCGGGAATGCCATTTGTACGCATGGGGTTACAGGAAAGTGAAGTTGGGAGAAAAGACTGGGTGTATAGGTTCGAACGAGGAAAGGATGAAAGCTGAATGGAGTTCAAGACGACAGAAGATGGTGATTGACGTTGCATTTAAATTTTTGAAAATTGTAATTATCAGGGAAGTAAGGAAATGGAAGGGGGTTCCACAGGCGAGAAGTGCGAGAAAAGAATCTGTTGGAGTAGAAGTGGCGGTTACATTTAACTATCTCAACGGTTAAAAGGTAGGACCTAGATGCCAATCAAGTAGCACGCATAAACTCATATAGTCCAGGAACCAGGGAAGAAAGCTCGTCAGAACAATAGCCATGGAAATATTTATAGAAAAGACAAAGTGAAGCCACGTCATGTCGGTGAGAAAATGACTGAATTTGAGATGCCAAGTCAGGGTCGATTAAATTGCAGATTCTTCTTTGGATTTGTGTCAAGGACCTCGAAATGAGTAGCAGGTGCACCTGACCAGATATGGCAACAGTGTTCAATGCACGGATGAATGGTAGATTTATAAATGTGCAAGATGGACTCTGACGAAAAAAGCCTTCTGACATGACACAGTGGCCCAACATTCCTTGTAGCAGATTCATCTATTGATTCGATGTAGTTGTTCCACTTCAACTCAGTTGAAAACATGTGGCTAAGAAGGCACAGTGTGTTGCTCTCCATGAGTCTAGCATCAACCATGTTGATGATGGGCAGAAAAGTTCCTCTGTGGTTGTTAAATGAGCGCAGTTTCTTTTTGAAGACATAAAAATTTAGGAACCGTTTCCTGCCCACGTTAAACACAGATTAGAGATCCGTTTCAAGAGCAACGGTCAGACTAATTTTGTCAGCTCTGACGGATTTGCTATTGAGACTGCTTGGAAACTGATGACATCAGGAAAATCATTGATGTAGATCAGAAACAGCGTAGAACCCAGAATAGATCCTTGGGGGACATCTGCGTTCATATGAAAGGATCTGGACGTGAGCCCATTTAAAACGACCATCATTTCACAATTTGATATAAAGAATCATCCAGGAATACCGTAGCCCTGGACACTGCAGTTCAAGAGTTTGACGTGACCCCTAATAATTTTTATAATTGGCCTCCAAAATTTCTCAAAGTATAACTTTGATAATTGATTCCATTCTTTTTTTGTTTTTTGTAAAGTTTTTACTCTTTTGTCAAATTCATTCCATGCTAATTCTGTTTTTTTTTCAAACTTTTGAACCATATTAAAAATAAAGATTTTTTAACTGTAAAAATAATTCATAAATTACTTTTCTGTTAACTTGGGGTGCATTTGCTAACTTTCAGGGCGCATCGGTGCGTCCGGGCGCATCATTTGAGCAACACTGCTTTAAACGTTGTTTTAAAAATTAAATTGAAATATTTTTTAATTATAAAGTTACAGTCGCTGTACCCTCAGGACTTCCTCAGTTGTCTGGCGTAATTTGGCATCTTGAACAATTTTCTGGGAGCAAATATTCTCTTCCTATATACGTCATATCTGCTGCTGCTTCTGCCTGCGACATCTGGGAACAGGGACCCAAAATAGTTTAAGGATTTTTTGTTAAAGTTCTGTCTCTTTACAACGCAGCTGGTCATGGCTTTCCGCATGTTCCTTTATATTATCTGTGAACTTTAATGGCATCTGAATAAAGATAGTAAAGTGGTTTCCCGTTGCTTTCTCTACGATTTCCAACTCAAAGTTGTCTTTCTACTAGACTGGGTGCCATTCAGTGCATGAAAGTATAGTCTGCCTTCTATTTCACCAATTTCATACCTTTTCCAAAGTCATTAGTGCGAAATTAATGAATGTCAAATCGGACAGCACTCGAGGCCGCTCGTCTATTTTGTATATTAACGATTTTAACTATTTACATATTTCGGACTGTTGACTTCATCTTTAATGTCATATTCATGACGTTTCGTCCGTTTTACGCTCTGGTCATCTTCAGGTGATATACGTTGAACTCTCGAACCAAAGTCTTTATTTAGTCCACTGGGGTCCCACAGGACACATGGTCCAGTGAATAAAAGCTTTGGTTGATGTAATCTAGTAACTTCCCCACAAAGAGTTGTGAGTACAGTATCTGGGCACATCAGAGATGAACAAATACTTGTAGAGTTACGAAAGGTGATTAACTGAAACTGAGATATCCAGAAAAGGCATGTCACATGTCAGTAGAACAATCTAATCCAGTGGACGTCTGTTTGAAATTCCAATGTCTATCACCCGAAGAAGGCAGGGGCATACAACGACCTAAAAGTTGTGAATATGACAATAAAAATGAGGAAAACTGTTCGAACAATGTAAATAGTGTAAATAGTTACAATACCCCATATCAAAAATATAGACAAATGAAGATTTTAAATTAATCGTAACTAATGTTTTATATATATTTTATTTATCTTTGTCTTATATACATTTATTATTTTGCAGGCAACATCTATCCAGTCTCGTCGGGTAAGTAATCAAATTGTCTATCTCTAAAAAATGTTTCTTATTGGATTCGAGAAACTTAATAAAGAGAACATATGGTGAGCCACAAAACAACGATTGGTGTGGTCGAAAAGGATGCCAGAGCACATTTCATTTAGAGGGTAATTGAAACCTTGCTGGGCGTGGCGTTCTCTATGGCTTACAGGTCTGGAGAATGCCGGAAAAGACAGTTTGTTTGTTTTTTTGTTTTTTCTATTACAAAGGAGAATACATTGATTTTATGTCTCTTGAACCCGCAGGCCGATAGACGTAATTTACGCTCTTTATAAAAACGGGGCGTTTAATCAAATATGCTTTTCCACAAAATAACGTTTAGAATATTAGAAAATAATATCGGATAAGAAATCTATTGATATCGTTTCCTTTATTACCCCAAACCAGTGTTTCGCAAACTTTCTTTAAAAACTTTTTACTTCAAGGAACACTTATATCATAAATAAAACTCTGAAGATAGACTTTAAATTTGGAAAAAGAAAAAATAGTCATGAAATTTGAAAGTATGAAATTTTGGTTTAGCATTCATAAAGATTAACGGTACAGTTTTCATTTAAATGATTTATGAAGAAATTGTTAATTTTTAGAGGACTGATTTAAATCCTTTGAAGAAGGCAATATGGAAAGGATTGTCTCCTTCTTAATAATTAAGGAGTTTAACATTCATTTTAAAATATCAAATGACAAAGACTTGACTTAGACATAAAAACCATGTGCTTCAGGTCTCTAGTTTTTAAAAATAAAGATTTTTGTTTTTTAAAACACGCTGACGCGTTTTAAAATCCTTACAGTACTTAGTATTGTCGAAGTTATCGCTAACATTTTCTGTCGAGATTTACAAACTCTACGTTACGTCCAATTTCGCAAACCAATCGATGAAATTTGAATAAGCTGAGATTTTGACAAAAAAAAAAAACCCTACTTCGGTTTAATAATTTTTTAATTTTTTCTATTGGAGTTCATGGTAAACAAAATTTTTAAGAAAATTTCTCTTTTTTCTTTTTTAACAGCGAATAATAAATTCTTATGATTTCTTACTCTTGAGCATACAACATACAACTGACCATGCATAAATATTTCTTTTTGGAGCCAAATTCTAATTTTCTGAAGTATTTGGCCTTGTGATTTGTTTACAGTTCTTTGTAAATGCAGGGCGAACTGAAATTGGATTCTTGCATAAGAACTTAAAGAAAAGATATGCAAAAACAGTATTGCATTTTTATTAAATAAGTATTTGTTATTTTAATCAATAAATTCCTTTTAAAATAGTGGGAAGATTTTGTATGTTAAATAATAAAAATTTTAATTAAAAAAAAAATAATGAAAATTTATTGTACTAAGCACCCTAGTAAAACCAACTGTATTTTGTGCCCCCTTACCTGTTTGCATTTCTACCCAAAATTTGATTTCGATCTGTCAATGTATGGTTATTTTAGAGGGTGTGACGGACGGACGGACGGACTAACGGAAATCATTGAATTTTATATATAGATAAAGATATTTTAAATATAGAAATAATTAATAAAATACTTTTCTTTTAGCTTAGAGCGCACTTGGCTAACTTTCAGGGCGCACTAGTGAGCCCAGGCGCACCGCTTGAGAAACGCTGCTCTGAACGTTATTTTTATGGATACACGGGCTTGAGTAAAAAGAAAAAAAAACTGTTTTTTTTTTTTATTTCTTCTTAAACAGTGTGAATTACGTCTATTGGTCTGTGCATTGGAGAGACTTAATAATAGAAAATGTGTTCTTTGGTAGGGTTCGAACGTGCACACACCCCATTCTAGGGGAAACACACCGTGTGATCCGACATGCCTTAAACTCTGTTGAATTACCGTTTACAAAATGTATATCTTATTCAGATCTTCTCGTAAACCCATATCTACTGACTTGTTTGTTTATTTTGTACCCGAAACGTAAACAATCCAATTTTTGAAAGAAATAAAGGATTTTAATCCAACGTTATTTCTTTTCAATTTCAATGCTATTTATATAACATACCGATCATATAGGATATATATATATATATATATATATATATATATATATATATATATATATATAAGTCAAGTAATGAAAATCTTGATAATCCGTATGGATAATTCCAAGGAGGATGAAATCTGGAGAGCTCAATGTTAAATCAGAGCGATTAATTTAATTTAAAGAAAACAGACAACTTTAAGGGTCCATGGTCATAATTTATTTCCCCAGGAGTTTTTTTTTCCCCCTGGCACTTCAGACCTCATTTCCAAGGATGAAAAATTAATTTAAATTTACATATAATTTTTTTACCTTTTGAGGGGTAGTATTAAGTTGATATAAATACTACCCCACAAAAGTGTAAAAGATTATATGTAAATTTAAATTCATTTTTTCATCCTTAGAAGATAGATTCTGACGAGAAATATTATCTGGCATAGAGAACCAACGTTCTTATCAGCAGACTTAGCAACTGACTCAGTATAACACCCACTTCATGTCAGCCTCTTCAAAAAGCGCAGTGAGTTACTCCAGGTTTCCCCACTATTTGAAAATATGCCGTTGCTATGAAGATCTATAGAAATTCAAAAGGCGTTTATTCCTATGAGAATCATTTTGAACGTTTAATCTTGTGTACTATGATTACAGAAAAGAATGGCATTATTTTTGCAAGATCGCTTACTTTTACTGCACGAAATTTTCAGAAATCATCGAAAAACGCGTAAAATTAAGAATTCAAAGATATTGTACTTTTATGTGTATATGTCTGTGTGCGTACTTGTGTGTATGTTCGTCTACACCTGTTATTTTCCTGTTCTAAATATCTCTATTGCTTTTACTATTCTAGGTTGTGGCCATCATCGTACCGATCATTTTGCTGTTGTTGCTGGTGATGTTGGCAGTTTTATACCGGAAATACGCCGCAGATATGACATGCAGAGAAATTTGGCAGCGTTACAAAATGGTACGTTTTCCTGATTTTTTTTTAATTTTTTATTTTTATTTTACTATTTGGTGAAATTATGTGCATTAAAGAAAAATTAAAGTGATCCCGAAAGTGATTTTTTCAGATTAAACAAAAAAAACTGTATCCTTACTTTTGGTTCTTTTTTCATATATATATATATATATATATATATATATATATTCGGAGTCGCAATGATTTATGCTCAATAGCCTCTGGAATAATTTGAAACATAACCGTTACCGCCCACCCTATAACCGTTATTATATTACAATAGACCTTGCTACTCATAATGCACACTGCTAGCATATATAAATAGTCGAGACAAAACGCAACACACATGGTCTGAAGATTACGTTCAAGCAGACTATCGCTACTTGATGTTAACATCAGTGTCCACTTTTATATTTACATACACTTTCTGATATTGAGTACTTTTACCCATGAATATAGCATGACTTAAAAGTATGTGCTATCACACACATATATATATATTTATTTATATATTCGGAATCAAAATGATTTCTACTCAATAGCCTTTAGAATAATTTGAAACATAACCGTTACCGCTTACCCAATAACCGCCAGGCTAGTACAATAGACCTTACTTTTATAATAAAAAGTATTTCTCTTATGTGCCATGCCCATACAAGATATGGACAATCATGGTTCTCCACAGTGTCCTATCCTTCATTGTTCTAAGTAATTTTTGTCTCTTGACTATTGTTCCCAAATTCTGTTCTGACATCCAATTACACAAGCTTGTTAGGTAATTAAATATCATTAAATATCATTAAATATCCTTTTAGAGAACATGTGTAGTAGTTCAGAACACTTTGTTTCCAATGAAATATATTTTGTGTTCAAGTGACACTTTACTTTTAGTGTTCAAAATGCTTGAGAAAAAAAAGGTCTCCCTGGAAAACTATTTTCTTTATTTCACTTAATTAGTATTTTCGCATTTTTACAAGAAATACAATAGCTGATATTTATTGTAACACATATTATTGTCTACAAGAAGACTTCTCACACACACTCATAAATGAATATATGTGTGTGTGTGTGTGCGTGTATGTGTGTGTGCATGCGTGCGTAGAATTAATACAAGTAAAAGCTTTGTCACTTAGCTGATTGATGTTACTCCAGACGTTCGTAGACGGACCTGTCCGTTCATTGGTCAGTGGGTATCTGCAACTGGCTGCTTACACTTCTCGATTTTGATTTTTGATTTTTGATTTTTACATGCAATTATCATTGGTGTAATTTTGTTTTCATAGTATATATGTGCGCTTGCGCGCGAGAGCTCATGCACCCGCCTGCGTGGATGTGCATATGTGTAGGGTGTCGTGATTAAGTCTGATGTGTGTATATTTTTTAGGAGTATTTAAAGTGTACTGATTTCATGGTGATGTAAAATAGTGTATATTTTTGTTGTTGAGAAAATATAATCACAGAAATAAATGCTGTGAGAAGGTGATCAAACTAAAACAAAAACCTGCAAAAGTGCTCAACTGAAAATGATTTTTCATGTTTCGTTGAATATGACACACAAGGAAAATTTGAATATTCTATTTAGTTTTTCCAACATTTTTCCATTTTTCCCGGTTGGTTGGAGTAAACGGATGCAAAAATTGTCCGTATTGTCCATTGTCCGAAGAGCTTTCGGCGACTTCTTTAGCTATTTTCAAGAGGGTTCGCTTTTAATTCCTTTTCATATTTCTCTGTTTAAGATGTAATTTTTGTGCTGTTTGAATAGTTGTAGCGTTTATTCCGAGCATCGCGATGTGAGTGTGGCTGAAATTCTGGTTGGCATCTTCATATTTTAAAAAACTTTCTACACATTTTGTCCGCTATTGAATAAGGGTTCCAGATGTTTTATGTAAAAGGCTGCTCTCACAGCGTGTTTTCGGTAATGGGATACAGGATACTAGTGTTATTGATCAAAATCTTCATTATGGTTGGTTGAAAATTGTAGGTGATTAAGCGACTTTTTATAGCATGCACACACACACACACACACAAACATATATATATATATATATATATATATATATAGCAAAAAACAAAAATTATCTCAACATAGAGATGGTCTATTTCAATCCGTTCTGTGCGGCTATCATCAGCCCCTAAGTGTCTGTCTCGGAGCATTGTTTTAAATTTATTTTCAATGTCACTCCTCCTCTGGTAGACGCCTTTTTAATGAGAATGGGTTTGTGTTAGCGATTGGTGGAGGCGTAAGATATCTTATTCCGGGGGAAGCGATCTGAGGTTGGAGTTTATTTATGGCCATAACCTTTGTTGTTTGTAGTTTAATGTCAGTTCCTACTATGTGGGGTTTTTTTTATAGTGGCCCCGAGTGTGTTTTTTCTGGAAATCACAGTAGTTTTTGTCCTACACGTGTCCAATATTATTATTATGCGATGGGGGATTTAAACTTAAACCCGTTAAGATTAATGTAAATTTGTTTCGTTATAGATTTATATATTATGGGTAATAACAAAACACCCAATTATATATGTCCATACTTATATGCCACTATACGTACACATACACCCCCACATATAAGCACATGTATTCATATGTAATTTGGATTTTTTTTCTATGTCTACATTTCGTGATTAGTTCTTTCCGTTTATTTAATAGCTTGCATTGATCTTTATATTTTATTATCCTGATTTTTTCTTCTAAACATAGCTTGCACCTATCCCTAAAACTATTGGGTTTTTTTCGCAAAACCTAGAATTTTCCAATTTATTTGAGGATTCAAACCCTTTTCCTTCAATTCTCATTTTTTTTTTTTTTCGAAAGGATTGTTTAGTGTTTTAATTTTGGATTGGTGAATGAATGTCTCTGTGTATTGATTCTCTTTATAAATTCTCATGCAGAAATGCTGATGTAAATATTATGGCTTGTCGTATTTTCTTTAGGGGTAATGGTTGCCTGGTATACTACCCTAGCGAAACTGCACTTGCCCTCTAGCACGTAGTTTCCCTTAATTCTACAATTACAGTTGGTTTCCATGTTAGATTTAGTTTGTTTTATTTTCCCATGGAATTTACTTAAAATGTAATTGTTATGGGAATTAATAATTTGTTACTTATTATCAGTGCAGGAGTAGCTAATTTTGCCTGAATTCCTGTTGAATATCTTATTTAGAGGTTTTTTGTTGAAGTGTTTAGTAATTAAGTTTAGGAAGTACTGTCCGATGTTGATACTTGACAGTTTGCAGAAGCGGGGGGCTGAACCAAGTGATTTTTCTTTTCCTATTTTTATACCTACATTCCACTTTTCTTGTATCAGTATTGCTAATGGTGGTTGGGTATGACTGATTACTTTTGAAACCACTTTTTTGGAGGGCCTTTTCCTATAGTTCTTTATTCTTATTAAATCTAATCCTGTACTAATCCTGTTGCAAACGGTAGTGGTTATTTGTCTTAGAATTGCGTTGGGGTAGTTAGAACCGATATTAATATAGTTGAGGGTTTCGTTCTCTTTATGGTATGGATTAAAGGTTTCATCATTAAGGTTAAGGGCGATATCTAGGTAGTCAACTATTTTAAGGTTAGAGAAAATCTCAATCTTAAACCCTAGGAATTTGAAGGCCCTGATAATTTTCTTTTGTAATTTCGCTGTTAGTCGACCATTACGAATAGAGATGAGGATGAGTCCATCTCTATACAGTCCTATTAGTCCCGGTTTTACGATTCTACTAAGCACATCTAAAATGTAAAACATACTAGGTTTACCACTTGGGCTGAGTCATACGCTCCCATGGGGACATCGAATTCGTCATTGTGGCGCTTAGTCCAGGAGGAATTATTTAGTGCTAGCAGTGTCTTTCTCACTGTTAAGATGATATTATTTTTCATCATCTGTTATTTCTATATAGCTCTATGTAAAGTTGATACTATTGACCAGGAGGTCCCTAACGAGAGGAATAGAAGTCAATTATATCAAACTTAATGAATGTCACTTTATCGAATTTCCTCATGTTAGTGAACCATTTAATAGTATCAGATGAATCCTTCCAAAGGTTAGTATTGGTTGTGATTGTCGGTTATTTTTTTAATTATATTTTGTGAAATAAGGCATAGTTCTGTTTTTGTTGTATTTATTAGTCTACATTGTGTATTGTCGGTGAAGTTCTGTTTATGGCAGTTAAATAAAATGTAGGCATATATATATATATATATATATATATATATATATTGATATGTTCCGGAAAGGGATATATTTGAACGAAGTAGCTAAGTGGTTTTGGCTACTATAACCAAGTAGAATACGGTGGCAGTAATCCACTGGTACGCGTCGAAGTCGCAGGTAAGAAGTGTAGATCAATGGCGTAGTCCAATAGGCGTTGTTATAGACTTAGCTCTCAGACTAAGGCTCTGACTCTCCTACACGTCCGTCAATATTTATGACGGACACCAGCCAATCACAATCCAGTGAGGGGGAATTCAGGTGTATGTATATTCCATTATATATATATATATATATATATATATATATATATATATATATATATATATATATATATAATTATTTTTATTCGAAAACTATAACATAAATATGTTATAAAATCAGTAAAAAAATAGTCATTTTGTTTCAACACTTCTGGTGGCTTATTAAGTGATGATGTTGAATGCAGAATAAAGGGGTTTAAAAGGTTCAAATCAATCAAACAACCCTCGCTAAGGGAAACGCTGTTACATAAGCTGGAATGACCAATCAAAATACAATATACGAGGATTCAAAAAACTTGACAACTAACTAAGGTTATAATAATTATTTAATGCTTTAATGTTGGGGTTAGAGTAAAATAGAATTCATTCTAACTAATAAATATTATATTATGCGATAAAATTTGAAATTAAGAATTACCCATTTTAAAATTTAAATTTAATCTATATTAAGTTTAAAATTATAAAATTACTGAGGAAAAAAGAATAAATATATATGTTATTTATTTATTTTGTTTTTATTGAAATTATTTATTTTGTTTTCTTGTCTAAGAGCCGCCAATATAGTCGGTTTTCTCCGATACACAACGTCCTTTAAGTTTGATGCTAGAGTCATGACTGTGATACCATCTGTCGAGAAAACATTGTACTGTGGAGTAAACAGTGTTATCGCAATTTGATAAAACTACAAAAGACAAGTTTTTCCTTTCCTGAAGTGTGTATACATTTTTGGTGGACCCTATATATATATATATATATATATATTGCATATAGTTCTCTCGTTAATATTTCGTTCTTTCGCGTGACACGACGTCATAGAACTGCATTATGAATTTGCGATTTGCGTCTGATATTTCGCGACCGTTATCGTCGCATAGCAATCTTCTATTTCAGCATAACAGAATCGACTACAAGATACTTTTCACAAAAGCAACATCAAATTACCCGACAACAGCAAACTCTTTGTATCACAACATATCTACTAATGTAATCAAGGCAAATTTGAAATAATGCCAATATACCAAACATACAATTAATTATTTATAATATGTGGAAATATTTACACTTTGCTTGGATAAGGTCGCGAAACCAGAAACACGTATAGCAGAATTATGGAAAATAGAGTATAATATATATTTTAAAATAAAAAAATCCACATTTCAGCCAAAAACGTTTGGTGTTTATCTTCTTTTTAAGATATATATATATATATATATATATATATATATATATATATATATATAAACAATGATATATAAAATGTTAATATAAACAGCGATATATAAATAAAATGTGAATAAACAATTGTTTATTAAATGCAGGTTATCTTTGAGCGTCACCAACACACATACACATTATATGTGTGAGTGTACGTTTGCGCAGAAATCAGAACTGCTTGAAGACTGAACTGAAGGTAAACGCTTACACAAGGCAATATAAAGCGTATAGAAAGGAATATAATAGGTACATTCTCGAAACATTGTAATCAGTAAATACATACTTATGGCAAACATTTAATTAGTGCATAATCTTATACAAATATTGCTCACGAGCATGCAGATTACGGAAGTTACAGGTTTGATAATCTATGGCTTATGACCCTGTATCAAATGTCTTTTCTCAACTCACTTTCTAGTATATACTACAGAATCGAGGATTTTGGAGAAAGGGCAAAAACAAATAGGAGTTGGCGACCATGGTCAAAATTCAGTATGCTAGACCAGGGGTCGGCATCCTACGGCAAGCTCGTGGCACGCCAAGCAATTTCCAATGGCACGCAGCTGCAAATGACATCCCTAAGTCCGTACCAATAACTATTACAACACAAAGAAGATATTTAGCTGTACCAATTTTAATATATACTAAAATATATATACTATATATTACTATATAAAATATATTGTAAGACAGGTATATTGATCTTGATTTGTACAAAAATACATACGCTGTTGGCACATTGAATTATTTATAAACCTCAGTGGGCACGTAGTTAGCCAAAGTTGCCGACCCCTGTGCTAGACCGCTACTAAATTAAATCTGAGTGCGTGTGTGTGTTTGGGGGAGTAAATTTAAATTTAAAAGCAGAACAATAGTTTAAATGTAACGGTAGGCTATGAAAAGTGTTTAGACCCGTTTCAGAAGCCAGTTTAATTTCACTGTTGTTTCTATTTTTCAGACGTCGGACACGAAAATATCATTCGCCCACCTAAAAAGTAATGAGAGTCAGGAAATGCTGGCCCCCGATGTACAGAACCCAATATTTGGACCTCAAGAACTTCTATTAGACGAGCAGCAACAACCTTGTTAGAAAAGAACACGATAAAACTATCGTTGCTAATCGGGTTAACTGATATTAGTTGTCGATGAAATTTAACCAGTGTCACTCGTAATATATATATATATATATATATATATATATATATATATATATATATATATATAAATTTGAAATAATTATTTTTTCAGTTATGTAAATATAAATTGGATCCTTTCAGTTTAATCAAATATATCCTTTGTGTTTTTGTAAAAAAAAAAAGAAAAATCCTTTTAGAGCATACATCTTATTGTACAACCAGTACCAAATCCGACAATATTATAATATTTTATTCAGGTATATCGGATATTGTATTAACCAAATATATTTTTGTGGTCTATATCTTTTGAATTTATTTATAAATAAAGATTAATGTCGCACTTTGTTCGCATAATAAAACCTAACCCCTTTCCCTCCAAAAATCCTTATAAACATTTTCTCAGAAGGGGAAAAAAACGATATATTGCTCATTCGAATATAACTTGTAAAAATTATACCAAAATTGGTTGGCTAATACTAATTAAATTGTGAAATCATTAACTTGCATAATAAAATTTGATATAGTATACATTTAATACGAGAGACAATCCTAAAGTAATGCTCATATTTATTTACACGAAAGCGACAACAGATACATAACAAAACGCTGCTACAAATTTTTACCCATCAAATGAAAGTTTTATACGTGCTGTCATATCAGATGACATTTTTCCAGATCGCTACGTGTAGCAAGGCAAAAAAAAAAAAGAAAAGAAAAATATTAAACCTTTATAATTATACAGCGAATATTCAACCTTTGTAATTATACCGCTTTTGACTTTGATGGTCAACAATAAAACAGAGGCATTATTTCGAACCGATTTTCTTATATATACCGTATATTTCAGCGTATAAGAGGATCTTTAAATCCCCCAAATCACCCTTAAAATTTGAGGGTCGTCTTATACTCCAATTCTAAAAAGGAAACCTTAAATTCTGAGTGATGTAGTCGCTCGGTGCGATAACGTAGATAAAAAGATTCACATTATCAAATAAACTGATAATAAGAGTAGTGAAACCATTTCTACCTGGCAGAACTTCATAATAAATTACCTGTTCGAAGAATTTTTCTATATCAATGAAATCAACTTGTATCCATGCAAGCTCAACTGTGAAAATGTCAATATCAAGTAATGACTGCGTTCACAGCAATGAAATGTAATTATCTTACTGTTATTAGTGGTATTTTGTGATTGTCGATAAAGTATAAGTAAATGGTCATAAGTACACCAGGCTGTTTGTAACTGTTTAGATATAGGAAAGAAGAGGAAGAAGAAGAAGAATCAGTATTCGCAAGAGATCACGTGATGAGACATAAGCAAAACAATGGTTTCCCTCTTAGGGGATGTGTGTAGGAAAAACATGACATAGAATCGGTTTTGTTATTTCGTTTATTTTGAATTTTTAAAGATAGAGTAATTAACAACGTTTCCAATAACATCATCTTTATATAATCAATAAGCAGTCGTCTTATACTACAGGTATACGATAAATTCATGAAAATTTGCTATATTTTTACCTCGTCTTATCTAAAGGTCGACTTATACGCCGAAATATACGGTGATAATTATTGCTGTGAAAATCATAGAAGTCCTTCAACAAAACGTTCATTAGATTTTTCTTTTCTTTAATTGCATTTTGATTTAAATAGAAAAGCAGCATTTTAAATCGTGTATTAGTCGTTCACCGTAATGTCTCTCACCGTCATTTCAATATAAAAAATGGTGCTTATTTAAAAGAGAAAGTAGTTTAGGAAGACGAAAGGTATATAGAAAGTGGTTTGTTTGCTAGATCATCCACGGTAAATTTACGTCCAGGTTTTAACAACAGTTCACCTTTCGTGGCAGATCTTCTATTATCATAATGTGGAATATTTAATAATAAAAGTGATAAAAACAAAAACACCAGGAAATAGAATTGATTAGACTACATGCCGAAACACGTCTATAAAAATATTAAATTTAAAATTTCAGCTTTCAAACAACTTCAGCCTTTCCTATCGGTATATAATTATAACAGTCGCTTGACCTTTTTTTATTTATACCATATATATATATATATATATATATATATATATATATATATATATATATATATATATGTCTATATTTCTGAGATGAGGTATTATGTACACTATTTACATTATTCGCACTATTGTCCTCATCTTTTTTTGCCATATTTATTACAATGTTTCGACCGTTGTACGCTTCACCTTTCTTCAAGGACACATGGCACAGTGAATAAATCCGTTAGTTAGATCCAATGACTGGACCCAAAGAGTGTGAGTTCAATACCTGGTTAAGACGGTGGAGAACTTTCAGAGGGAAATTAACAGGAGATGACTGATAACTGACATCCATTAGACATGGCACATGGAACTAGAAGAGTCTACCCCACTGAACGAAATAAAGGGTTCAGTTCGACATTCCAATCGCTTGAAGAAGGGCGGAGCGTACAACGGCCGAAACGTTGTAATAAATATGGCGACAAAGATGAGGACAATAGTTCGAATAATATACAAATGAGAGAAAGAACAGAACAGATGGAATAAAAATCCACAGGAAGTAGCATTTATTTTTTTAAAGCGCTCAATACAAAGTAGAGTAAAATATTATTATAATATTTTTATTATATTAAATTACAATAAAAACATTTTACATCGCTACACAAAAACTTTCATGTTTCAGTACTAAGATGGTACTTCTTCAGGCGATGGTAGATAGCAGATAACTAATGATAAAAATGACTTATTAGGGAAATTTAAAAACAAATCTTTACCATTTTTCGTAAGTTAAAGGCGGCATATATATATATATATATATATATATTATATATATATATATATATATATATATATATATATATATATATATATTACTTAACGCTATTTTTAGTGTATACTCGTATTTGAGTAGGCGCTCTGTTTATTTATTAAACAATATATTTATTTTATATTTAAAACCCAATTTCGCCCTGGCCTGATTCATATCTCTGTTGGTTAGAGCGTTCCAGATCTACTGACAGTTCTCTCTGCTCAGTCGGTGTGAAAGTTCGAATCCTGCCGGAGAGCGCATATTTTTGTTTAATAAGATTTCTTGAATATTCAGGAAGGTAGACGAAAATAAATAAATAAATATACTGTTTCATAAATAAACGAAGCCTTTAATCAAATATAAGTATCCACTAAAAAGCCATAAAAATCTGACAGATTTTTATGGGTTTTTTAGTGGATACCCATATTATTTCTTTAGAAAAAATATGTGATTACTGCTGTGAAAATGGCATTCAATAAAACCTTCATTTGAGGATCCTTCTGATCTCGGGCATAGGATTCAGAACTGAAAAACCATTAACGTAAGGCGCTTCAGGAATACCTCAGTTGTTCGCTAATCTTTATTTGTTTTCTGTCACAGACATCAGAATACTTTTTGCTATTTTATTAATAAATGAAATAAAATAAAACATTTTTATATTCCCGATTTGTAAAATTCAAGAATGAAACAATTGTTAAATCAGGTATTTTTTTTCAATGCGTTTTTCATCATTCCTCACATATTTTTTCATCCTATCTCCGACCCTGACGCTGAAAATCCGACAAAATGTCTTGTTCTTATCGATTTTTTTTATAAATCATCAACAACGGTCTATTCGACGTCACAATAACTGTAATTCTTTATTTAAGGATGAATAAAACATTGATTTTTCAATAACAAAATACAATGAAAATTATAAACTTACATTTTGACTACAAAATTTTTGTATATATACATATACCTTAATAAATTACTTTCTTGTTTAATTAAAATACATGCTTTAGATCAAAATAATGGTCAGACTAAATACGGAGTGTATTGTTTTCTAAAAGATGCCTTTTGGGTCTAGATAACATTTTGTTTAAAGTCCTAAATGCTTCATCAATAGGAAACTACAATCAATTTTGTATAGGTACCTCCAAAAAAAAGCGATACCCAAGGTTTAAATGCATTTTAGAAATGAAAAATCTTTCTTGAAGTTTTTATTTTTGTTTTAATTCCAAGCAAATAGATTAAATTTAGTATTTCCAATATGCAAAATACTTTGCTGTATTTAGAACTGAATTTAAATTAATTGAAAATATTTTATCATTTTATTTTATTTTTTATCTTTAAAATCGTTCCAATCGGCCATATTGACAAATCTGTCAACACAACATACTTCTCTTTATTGCAAAAATCTTTTAAAAATGAAATATACTTTTCTGAAACTTTATTTGAAAATAAACTGACTTAAAGTTTAATTAATCTGAATTAAACCAAATATTACTTTTAGTGGAAAAGGTCACAGAAATGCATTTTTAACACGGAGGTACGTGTTTTTGTGACAGCTTTATCGATAACTTAATGTTTGGCATTTTTAAGTAAAGGGCACATAACTGTAAAAATTACTTCACGAATACAACATAAAAGTCTTTTTATATCATTTTTTTAACTACACAATAATCTTTAAAATTTAGGAAATTATTCTGTGTAATTTAATATTGAATTGAATTTTAGGTACTTGTTGAGGAAATATTAGAAAATTACTAATAAATTTAAAATTTACTATAGTTACAGATCTTATTTTCTGATAATATCGTGTATGGATGTCCGTATTTACAAAAATCGGAACATTTACATACATACACAAAAATTTTAAATTATTTTTAAAATACTGGGTGTGTAAGCTTTTCCATTTATGATTAGTAAATATATTTTTTTTAATAATATCACCTAATTGATTCAAATTAATAAAAAAATTTCCAAAGGTTTAAACGTATATAAATTATTATAATTTTTTTAAAAAATGAAAACAATTCTTGTAAAATTTCATTAGACATCGGAAAAAAAATTCTTAAGACAATAGTGCCCATAATATATCTTATTCATAAAATAATTAAAAGATTTTCTAATTAAATGATGTGTTAGTTTAAAATAAAAATGCAATACAATTTTTTGTTTTACGATTCAGAGCAGATTTTCGGTAATTGAAGGCGCTGTTTAACAAAAAAATTGATGATTAACATTCTCCAAGGACTTGTCCTTATAATTAATATAAACATTGTGGTACAAAAAGAATTTCTCGAAATTTCATAAAATTGAATAATTGTAACAAATAAGGTAACAAATGTAAAAAAACCAGTAAGAATAACAAATGTAAAAAAAATTTTTTTATCCAAATAGAAGTTTAAAAAATAACTTAATTTATTTGTGAATAAGTTCTGAAAATTTCTTTAAAATCAGCCAATTATCTAATTTTTGCAAGAATTTCCAAATCATTGTGTTTTTCATAAGATGATCAAATTTCCCATACTACTTTGGCCTCACTTTGACACAAGAAAAACAAAAAATTTTAACCAAAATTTTTAAGGTTCTAATAAGGAGTAAAAAATATAATTTAAAAAATCCTTTGGACTTTCTTTAAAAATCCTTTGGGATTTCCTCTTGGTAATAACAAAGATTTTGACAATAAAACTGTGTGGTAATTAAGTTTTTGGTGCATTTTTCATTGTGTATGTTCATTTTTTAGCGAATCTTTGGAGGTGCCTAATTTTGTATAATCAGGCTTCAGGTTTTATGATGTTATTACTTTAAGGTAAAATTTTATAGGAATTTACGAAGTCTTCCACGTGTCTCTTATTTTAGCTGCTACTGTTACAATGTGGGATTAAAAACAATGCCGATTAAAAAAATCATAATAGAAGCTGTAGAAAACCGGGCATACTTGAACATTCGTCCTCACAAAATAAATAAATAAATAAAATCAGTGTTTTAAAAGGACGGTTTTTCCCTTGACACCGCTATTATTTTAACTAACTTCACTCCTTGGCAATGTTTATTGTTTTAAAAAGCGATGATTAGAATTGTAATAAAACCTAAACATTTGATGACAGTGAATTTTAAAAATATTAAACACTATTTGCTTATTAGGTTGTCTATTTACAAAAATAATTTTATATTTACAACATTGTAAATACTAATCAATGAAATATTTATCATTTACCAATTCATAAAGAAATAAATGTACAAAGTCTTTTATTCATGAATTTATAAACAATGATAACGAAGTTCTTATTATTTAGCATTTTATAAGGTTCGTATCAATTGGCAACGATTGTTTTGCCAACTATTCTAATAAACAAACTAATAAATTGTGTAATTAACTGTTATGGCCGAGGTTAGGACCAAGGAAGAACAACACGAACACAAGATTAGAAATAACGTAGGGATATTACACGAAATAATAATACAAGATATGCAAGGTGTTAGTATGACTGTCAGTCTGGTTTGGAGTAAACTACTATCGGCTCGACTCGATTCGGTATCTAGCCACCCCCACGAAGGTTGCATGTGGCACAAGGCCGAGTTTAACGTGGGTTTCTCGATCCCGTAGGCTCGGCCAAAAAATGCCCGTAGAACCGCTATAAACGGGATCGGGTTGGTCAACCTCCCCGAACGAGACTCTGCCCTTCGGCGGAGCCTCGTCCGGGTTCCTCTCTGCTCAGAGGCAGAGAGTTCGATTGTCAAGCCGAGAAGCTCGGCTTAGTTCGACTCTCTCTCTCTCTCTCTCTCTCTTGAGAGACGTAGTATACATAGTGTTAGGAAGAGTTCATTCTGTAGTTATAGGTAAGGATCCATGACAATAACAATCTAGAATATAAATAAAAATTCTTATTTTTGTTTTCAATTTTCAAGAACCAAAAATATGTATACATTCGCTTTCATTATATGTTTAGGTTTTATTACAATTCTAATCATCGCTCTTTAAAACAATAAATATTACCGAGGAGCGATGGTAGTTAAAATAATAGCGGTGTCAAGGGAAAAAATAGACTTTTGAAATGCCGTTTTTCTTTTTTCGGACGGGAAAGTGCATGCTTGCTGAAAACTGAATCAGGGCGGTTAGTTTAGGCATGGGACGCCAAAAATTAGATAAATAAATTTAAAGCCAAGCGATCTTTTATTTTCTCACTTCTAGGTAATTACATCTCCAATACAAATAATCAAAAACACCATTAAACTCTAATAATACTGTTTACACAACCACAACACTTTCTCGTAGGTTAACTTGCCATATGTCAACATTTAATGCAGGTCGTACTCATATTGATAATCTAAACATAAAAACTGGAAACATGATTTTTAGAATTTGACAAATATTACTAAAATTAAAATGCTATATATAACACTGGTTGTAGAGAAAGACGAGGAATATTTAAACTGATTTGTACAAAGGAAACAATTCACAGGGAAATAGGGAAAGGTATTTTAATATTGGTAAAAAAAAATACCAAACATGTTCGTTGGCACTGTCGAGTTTTGAGATATATAAAGTTTTCTTTTTTAATTGTCCCTTATGTAGTGACAGTCCATTCTGCATAAAATATGTGCATTCAAAAATAGCCTCTGTAAAAAAAAAAAAAATAAACAGAATGCAGATAAGGAAATATTTTTCTCTATTTTTACTAACCTTAACGTTCCTGAAAATGACTAGTTACGGGCAAAAGGAGTCGAATAAAAACGGTATTATCTTTGGCTAATTTCTGTAGACATTAGACCCGGACGTGTGACAGCTTATACGCAAACATGAAAAATGTAAAGATACGCTCATGGGCAAAATTATGGGGCAGGTGTGGAAAAGTTAGAAATAGGATTGAAATTCGTACATATATTAGCTGAAAAGACTATAAAGAGCATTCTTGAATTGATGTTTCACTGGCATTTATTGATACCAACAACGATTTGTGTTCAATATTTTTGATACAATGACGATCATCTTTCGATGTAGGCAACGTTGAAGCCGGTAATTGTGACGTTTCAGGTCCATTGTGATGTGCAGTAAATATCTGTACATGAATACAGTAAAAATCTTTTCTAGTCGCTAGTAAATATGGACACTTATAATTTAAAAAAACAAGATAGAGTACCTGAAAAATGGATGACAAATCTCTCCGTTTTGCTGAGGATTTTCCTGCACGATGTTTTTACTAATTCAATATTTAATGAAAAATATAATTTTAGTTCGTAAGAAGAAGTGAGTTTGTACTTAAGTAGACGATGCATGCGATTTTTATGCCCTGTGTATTTATGCTAAGAACGAAATGTCTGTTGATAATTTCCAAAATACGTCCGGCGACCAATCATTGGATGTAGAAATATTTAACTCCGTTTCAAAATTTGGTGATTTGAATGGCTTGTAACCACGTTTTGTAAAAAAATCCACAAGGAATTTCCGATCGTTCCGATTTAAAAGATTCCATTTCATGAAGACATGACTGATGTGTATTGCATCGAAGAATTTCAAACCTCCTCGGATGACCTTGCCTTCATTTCCTTTTACGTTCATGGTCATAACCGCTTTTTTCCGTGGCATCAAATCGATGAGTTCATCTAATAACAATGTGGATTTTTTATTTTCTTTGTGTACCTCACCATCGTATACTTCTAAAGGTTTCCCATGTTTGATGATCGAGGAATTATTTGTTCCTGCAATGAGCTCGAGAGTTTCATGTTTATCTGACAAAGGTTTCGTGACGAGCGTAATATATTTCTCGAAATGGTTAATAACAACTGATTGGTGAAATTTTTCAATGTTAATGTCCATCGCTTCTACAGCAAGTGTCGGTATTTTGAGATTAGCAGCCAAAAGAGAAAACATGCCTAAGTTGGCTCCAATATCGACGAACCCATAGTCAGAATTTTCAACAAGGATATTTTGAAGACTTCTCGACCGCTGCGATTCCTTTTTTTCAGACAGTGGGATACGTCTTGAGATTAAATACTCCTGATTTTCTTGAACACACATTGGTATTTCCCCAAGTATTGTTAAAAACGGAATGCACAGTAATAGAGGCTTCATTTGTTGGCTGAAATCAAAGACATAATCTTTGATAGTGGCTGATGGCGACTTGAATTTTTGATCCTCCAACGGCCTGGCTAAAATTCTTGTTGAAAACTGCGTCAGGTTAAAATGTGAAACCACTAAAACAACGCAGCCGACGATGGCGATGATGATGGCCATATAAACATGCCTCATTCTGATAGGGTTAGGGTTGAAGGAAAATAGAAAATGTTACAGATCGGACGTAGTGTTTGTTATTTGACTATTTCCTCTTTTAGAGTCGACTTAGCTCCCCCGTATGTGTCTATTGGATGAAATCAGAAATACTGTTTCACTAATACGTTAGCGAGGGAAAAGAGAATGAATTATTTGTGGTTGTACAACTGACAATAACAAAATCCTATCACTTTAAAGGTCAGACATATAAATATTTATTCTGACATGGATTTTTCTATTTTCTCTTTCACTTTTCCTTCATTTCCTTTTTGTGGTATTTGTTGCTTCCTCTATTTTCTCCCTTTTTTGCAGTTTCATTTTTAGTTCCATTGATTTTCCTTTATGTTTAATTTTTGTTTTAGCCTTTTTGTTTTCTTTATTTCCTTTTATCTTCTATTGATTTTCGTTTTAATTCCCTTTTATCTTTTAGCCTTTCTTTTTTCTTCTTTTTTTCTTTTTTTCGTCCATTGATTTTCCTTTTCGTTTACCTTTTATCTTTTAGCCTTTCTTTTTTCTTCTTTTTTTTTTTCGTCCATTGATTTTCCTTTTCGTTTACCTTTTACTTTCAGCCTTTCTTTTTTTTAAATTTCTTTTTCTTCAATTTATTTTCCTTTTCGCTTACTTTTTTTTTTTCTTTTGGACATCTTTTATTGCTTATTTCTTTTTCTTTTTTTCTGATATTGATCTTCCTTTCGATCGACTCTTTTTTTGGTCTTTCTTTTTTTTCTTTACTTATTTTTTTCTTGTTTTCCTTCTCGTTTACTTTTTCTTTTAACGTTTCTTTCTTTTTTATTCCTTTTATTTTTCTTCCATTGATTTCACTTTTCGTTTAATTTTTTGCTTTCAACCTTTCTTTTTTATTTCATTCTCTTTTAGTTTTTCCTGATTTTCCTTTCCATTTACTTTTTTCTTTTAAGTATTTTTTTCTTTTTTCTTTCATTGATTTTCCTTTTCCTTTACTTTTTTCTTTTAGCCTTTCCTTTTTTCTTTTTTTCATCCATTAATTGTTCTTTTCATTTACTTTTTTCTTTTAGCCTTTCTTTTTCTGTTTCTTTTTTTCATTGATTTTCATTTCATTTACTTTTTCTATCTTCTTTTCTTTTTTATTTCTCTTCTTTTTCTTCTCTTCATTTTTCTTTTCATTTAATCTTTTCTTTTAGCCTTTCTTTTTTTGTTCTGCCATTGTTTTTCCCTGTCATTTACTTTTCCGTTTAGCATTTCTTTTTTTTTTTATCTTCCATTGATTTTCCTTTTTTCTTTTGTCTTTTCTTTTTATTTTTATTTCATTAATTTTTTCCATTGATTTTCATTTTCTTTTAATTTCTTATTTTCTTTTTCTTTTTTCTTCTCTTCATTTTCCATTTCATTTACTTTTTTCTTTTAGCCTGTTTATTTTCTTTATCCATTTTTCTTCAATTGATATTGCTTTTCATTTATTTTCCTATATTTCCTTTTCTTTATTCTTCCATTGATTTTCCTATTTGTTTACTTTTTTCTTTTAGAATTTCTTCTTTTCTTTTTCTTTTTTATTTTTTTCTTCCACTGATTTCTCTTTTCATTTAATTTTTCTTTATTCTCTTTTCTTTTTTCATGGACAGATTTTCCTTTTCATTTACATTTTTCTTTTAGCTTTTCTTTATTTCTTTTTCTATTTTCTTCCATTGATTTTCCTTTTCATTTCCTTTTTTCTTTCGGCCTTTCTATGTATTCTTTTTTGTTTCATTGATTTTCTTTCTAATTTTCTTTTTTCTTTTAGCTTTTGATCTTTTTTCTTTTCTTCTTCTTTTCCTTCCATTCATTTTCTATTTCGTTTGCTTCTTCCTTTTAGTCTTTCTTTTTTCCATTTTTTCCTTTTTTGTTTATTCCTTTCATTTATTTTTATTTTCATTTATTTTTTTTAATTTAGCTTTTGTACTTTTTCTTTATTTCTTTTTTCTTCCAATGTTTTTTCATTTTATTTACTTTTTTCTTTTAGCCTTTATTTTTTGCATTGATTTTCCTTTTCGCTTATTTTTTTTAGCCATTGTTTTTCCTTTTTTATTCTTTTTCCTTTTCTTTCTTCCATTGATTTTCATTTTCATTTAGTTTTTTCTTTTAACCTTTCTTTTTTCCTTTATTTCTTTTTCTTTTTTCTTCGTTTGATTTTCCTTTTCATTTACTTTTTTCGTTTAGCCTTTATATTTTATTATTTTTTTTCATTTGATTGAGCTTTTCAATTGCTTCTTTCTTTCAGCTTTGATAAAATGATAATAATAACCAGAGAAGAAATAGAAATAGAAAAATCATTTGGTACACACACCCATTCAATCAAATAGTTAGTAGTAAGTTAGGACATAAATGTCTTGCTTTAATTGGTAAACATTTTCCTAGAAATAATGCATTTAGCAAAATTTTTAATAAAAATACCCTAAAATTAAGTTGCAAGTTGAAAATTTAGAAAATATATATATAAAAAAAAAACATAAAAATATAATTCTAAGAAATAGTGCTCCAAAAATAAGAATAAACAACAGTAAAGAAAAATTATGTAACTGTAGGAATCCTGAAAAATGTCCTTTGAATAATAAATGTCTCACAGAAATTGTAGTTTACCAATGCACTATTACATCTATTGAGAATCCTAATATTATGAAATTTTATATTGGTGTTATGGGATCTTATCTATAATAATAATAATGGACTATTCCATACTTAATAAATGCTGCGCCTCAGGAGTAGGCAAGTGTGAGTCAGTAGTTCAAGTCGAGTCAAGAGTCGAGTCAGAGGCAGTCCGAAACAGAGTCGCGTTCAGACAATTACTGCAAGACATTGGAATAGTGATACTGGTCGAGACTACATTGTTCTCCATACTAAACCTGATTGTTCGTACTAACACTTTCTACTTCTCTGTATATATTCCTGTTTGTAATATATCTGTGTTATTCCATACCTGTGTTCGAGTTATTCTTTATTGGTTCTACCTTGGACTATCACCGTGGTACAAGGAACCGGACCATAACAATTGGATCTACTAAAAATGAATTTAAAGTTAAGATGGAACCAACATCTGACTTTCTTCAATAAGTATCGCAACCAAACATCCCTATACAAATATCTTTGGCATTTAAAAGAAACAAATACCCGCAGTAAAATGGAAACTAATAAAAAACGAGATCTTTAAATGACCCATGTCCTTTGTGCCTACATGAAAAGTTATATATTATTAAGTCTCTGAAAGATAAAAATTTAATAAATCAAAAAATAAAATAGCATTTTTGTAGATATTGTCTCATATTTTCCTTAAAAAATAATTAATTATAAAAGTAATCTGCATAATTATATAGCTATTATTTGATTATAAATAAATAGTTTATAAATACGTAATTAAATTCTAATATTTTAATTTTACAATACCATATACAGTTTATTAGTAAAAATAATAAATATGTTATTTTAGATCTTTATAAATAAAAATATAAATATAAATAATATGACTTAATCTCGATGTAGTTTAAAAAATAAGAAAATAAATTTAAAAATAATGTCAATTGCATTGCAGTATAACCCCAAAAACCAGACTGTGATGACATGTTTGCATAAAAGGAAGTCAGTATCAACAGATAGAAATTTCAAACCCCATCCTAACCTTAACCGATTTTCACTTTGCCACATAAAAATATACTTGTATATTCATCCGTCAAAAAAAGCCAACACCCACTTAATAAAAAAGTTTGAATTCTCATTCCCCGACGAAATTAAAATATAAAATACTATTTGATTTATAAATTGAGTAAATCAATTTTTTGAGGGATATTCTTCATCGCTTGAAAATGGAACTGAACTTTTAAGTTTAATTTAAGATTTAGGTTTTGGTTTCGAAACATGGTAATTTCTGTGTCGCGATGAAAACATATTTTTAAAAATTAATTATATTATGCTCTACTGTGTAGAGCACTGTTTTAAAAATAAATGTAAAAGAACCCTGGATTATTAATCTGACTATATATATATATATATATATATATATATATATTAATAATCCAGGGTTTTCCTATTGTCATTTTTATTCATATTGTTATTTTTATTCATAAATATTGTCTTCTCTACTGATTAAATCAGAGAAATTTTCATATATATATATATATTAAGAGAAAAGAGAAACCGAAAACTTTTTTTGGATTTTTAAATATATATTTATATATATTTATTTTCCATATTTTTGCTACACGGGTTTCCGCTCTCGCGACCGTCATCAAGAGTGGTTATTTCCACATATTATTAAAAGGAATTAATTTTCCTTATGTATTCCGATGATTAACCATTGTCTTTTGTATGTAGTAGTAACCCAATGTTGAAATAACGAATCTCTGCCTGATGAAGGTCGCGAGACCGGAGACGCGCGTAGTAAAAATATGGAAAATAAAATATTGCACATTACAACCAAATATATATATATATATATATATATATATATATATATATAGAGAGAGAGAGAGAGAGAGAGAGAAAGAGAGAGAGAGAGAAATATGAAAAAGCATTAATTTTACAAACCTTTTATTTTTTAAGAAGAGATAGCTTCAAATGAGTCGGTGACGTTATACGGTTGGCGCAAAAAAATAGCAGGTTGGAGGTAATAAAATATTTTTCTAATTTTTGTTGATAACATTAACCTTCATGAAAATTACCAGTGATGGTCAAAAGTAGTTGAATAAAAACGCTGTTATTAACTTTGACCAATATCTGTATACAATAGATCCGGATGTACGATTGCTTATAGAATAATAAAACCTATCGATATGCGTGGAATACTATATTCTAACGGCAAAGTGAATAGATTTTTTAACAAAAATTGGTTAAAAGCGATTTCAAGAAATAATTATTGTTTTAGAAATGTTTAAATTTCACGATACTGGGGCAATATCCCGATTTAAAATATTTTTATAAAATGACGATTATCTTTGGCCTGTGAAGTATTAATTCGATTTTGATGTTGTGAAGTATATATAAGTAACTGAAAACATGAAAAATTTTCTCTATATGCTAGAAAAGTTGGCTCCTGAAAATCTAATAAATAAAATAGTGTACCTGAAAAACAGACGACAAATCTTTCCGGTTTGCTGAAGATTTTCCTGTACGATTTTTTCTTTTTTTACTAATACAATAATTAATGAAAAATATAATTTAAATTCGTAAGAATTCCAATCAAATTCGTGTATTTGCACTTAAGTACAAGATGCATTCGATTCTTGTGCTCTTTGCTAAGAACGAAATGCTAAGAACGAAATGTCTGTTTATAGTTTCCAATATACATCTGTCTTCCATTTATTAAATATAGAAATATTCAACTCGTCTTTAAACAATGGTGATTCGAATTATTTGATTTATGTTAATAAATATAAATTCAACTGTAATAAGATTTACATTTTATTCATCATCATTTCTATGGGTGCGTCCATATTTTTGCCTCGTACTGCATATATATATATATATATATATATATATATATATATATATATATATATATATATATATATATATATAGCGTCTGTTTAAAAAAAATAGCAGGCTGGAGGTAATAAAATATTTTTCTATTTTTTGCTGATAACAATAACCTTCATGAAAATTACCAGTGATGGTCAAAAGTAGTTGAATAAAAACGCTATTAACTTTTTTTCTGTAGACATTAGATACGGATGCGCGATTGTTTATAGAATAATAAAACCTATTGATGTTCGTGGAATACTATATTCTAACGGATGACAAAGTGAACAGAATTTTTATCAAAAATTGGTCAAAAGCAATCTCGAGAAATAATTATTGTTTCAGAAATATTTAAATTTCACGATACTTTGACAATATCCCTAACTTACAATATTTTTTGCTACAATAACGATCTTTGGATGTAGGCGATATGGAATAAATTTAAGACCTGTACTTGTGAAAGTTTAAGTCGTTTGTCATGTTGTACAGTAAATATCCGTGTACGTATACATGAAAGATCTTTTCTAATCGCTAGAAAATTTGACCTTGCACTTAAGTAGAAAATGCATTTGATTCTTGTGCCTGTGTATTTATGCTAAGAACGAAGTGTCTGTTTATAGTTTCCAAAATACGTCCGGCGACCAAACTTTGAATGTAGAAATATTTAACTCCGTTTCAAAACTTGGTGATTTGAATGGCTTGTAACCACGTTTTGTAAAAAAATTCACTAGGAATTTCTTATCGTTCCAATTTAAAAGATTCCATTCCATGAAGACGTGACTAATGTGTATTGCATCGAAGAATTTCTTACCTCCTCGGATGACCTTTCCTTCATTTCCTTCCACGTCCATGATCATAACCGCTTTTTTCCGTGGCATCAAATCGATGAGTTCATCTAATAACACTGTGGATTTTTTCCTTTCTTTGTATATCTCACCGTCATATGCTTCCGAAGGTTTTCCACGTTTGATGATCCAGGAATGTCCAAGATTGTTTGTTCCTGCAGTGAGCTCGAGAGTTTCATGTTTATCTGACAAAGGTTTTGTGACGAGCTTGATGTATTGCTGAAAACGGTTAATAACAACTGATTGGTGAAATTTTTCAATGTTAATGTCCATCGCTTCTACAGCAAGTGTCGGTCTTTTGAGATTAGCAGCCAAAAGGGAAAACATGCCCATGTTGGCTCCAATATCAACGAATCCATAATCAGAATTTTCAACAAGGATATTTTCGAGTCTTCTCGAATGCTGCGATTCCCATATTTTCCATATTGTTATAGCTTTTGTGATTAAATCGTTTTGATTGTCGTGGACGCATATTGGTATTTCCCCATTTATTGTTAAAAATGGAATGCACTGTAATGGAGGCTTGATTTCTTGGCTGAAGTTGAAGACATAATCTTTGACAGTGGCTGATTGCGACTTGGATTTTAGATTCTCCAACGGCCTGGTTAAAATTCTTGTTAAAAATGGCTTCAGTTTAAAATGTGTAACCACTAAAACAACGCATCCAATGATGGCGATGATGGTGCCCCTGGAAAAATTTCTCATTCTATTAGAGTTAGTGTTAACGGGAAATAGAAAATTATACAAACTGGAAGCTTTCTTTGTTATTTGACTATTTCCTCTTTTAGAGACGACTTAGCTCCTTCGTTTGAGTCAATTGGAGGAAATCAGAAATGCAATTTCACTAATTTTAGCGATAGAATTAATTAGTGGTTGGAGAACTGGTAATAGCATAATCCTATCACTTTAAAGTTTAGATATCTAAATATTTATACTAACATGGATATTTCAGTTTCGTTTTACATTTTTCCTTCCTTTCTTTTTCTATTCCCGACATTTCACCATATTTTTTCAGTTTCTCTTTTCATCTATTGATTTTCCATTCATTTACCTTTTTTTTATTATTTTACCCTTTCTTTTTTATTTGTTTTTCATTTTTTGTTCCATTGATTTTTATTTCCTTTTACTTTTTTCTTTTCGACTGTTTTTTCTTTCTCTATTTATTTCTTTTTTTTTCTTTTTATTTTTTCTTTTTTTTTTTTTGCATGTGTTATAAACTTTAAATTCATGACCGCATGTCATTTAAATTATATAACACATAAATTAATCCAAAACTAAAGTAATTTAAATATTAATTTGCATAAAAAGAATATCTTTTACTTACTTTCGTTTTATTAAACATTAAATTATGTTATTTAGGTATCCTCCATAACTTACCTAGACTTTTCAACTAATCTAATGGATATTTATGTTTGTGTCTTAAATATCATAATTTTGGAAAACTAACATTTTTGCTCTTGTCTATAAATATTATGTAAGCCTAAATTCCTGTTTAATCTTAGAACGTTTGAATCTATGTTGAACTCGAGGATAAAATAAGAATTTCAGCATATTCAAAGAATACAGTCTACGCAGAAAGCCCTTTACACATCCTCTACACTCAACTAATCCAGAACTATCAGAACTTTGGCAATATAAAACGCGCGTAAAAAAAAAAACTATTCCACGCAAAAGAGAAAGAACACAGGCGTGTCAGGGAATTCCGATTCGTAACATCTTTACATTGTTTGGACTGTTGTCCTCATCTTTATTTATGAATGTTACAATAAATATAAGGACAACATGACGAGTAAGATATTTTCACTATTTATAGTGTAAATATCTTTCTCCTGATGTTTTCATTTGGTCAAAAGGCCTATTAATATTCAATAAATATTATTAGTGTTATTATTATTATTATTATTGTTATTGCATTTTTTTATCTTTCAAATGTTTTTCATCAGTTATCTTATAATATATTTATGTATTATAACAATCATATGTGTACAATCTTTATTTACTATCATATATATATATATATATATAACCAGAAATATAATATAACCAGAAACGCAAGCATAGGGAAAAGTACTATGATTCATTATTTAAGCATACGCACAAATATACATACACTCATCTCTTTCTTTCGTTTTTTGATTTGTTGAAGCCTAGAAAGGCGAAACGCGTAATCAAATTTAGTTTCAATGAATCGGTTTCCATTGTCAAATTTCTTTAAAATTTTGTCGGATTCTATATCCTATTTTAAACACATATTGTTGACACAAGGGACACTTGGATTCACCTAAAAATTTCTTAACATTCATTTTTATGTTAACTATAACGGAAAGCGTTTCATGCGCATTTACAAAAAAATCACAACTATCAATTACATTAAATTTTTTTCCCTTTCACCGGAAAAGAGAAAGGATTGGAGATGATTTTTCAAGAATTAAGCAAAGAAAGAGGAAAAAGAAGAGAAGAGGAGAAAGGAAGGCGGAACTAGAGACCATATACATTAAAGATTAACAAATCTTTTACTTTCAATCCCTTTCTAAAAGATTGTACGAAGATTTGCCTTCGATTCATTTCAGAAAAGCCTATAGGAATCTCTTGCTTTCGAGTCATTCTGAATATGAGATGAGGATTTACCTTTAATCCGATACAAACAGTTGTGAGAAATATATTAACACCTTTCGACATGAACTAAGAATTATAAAGAAAAGTTACAGAATCAATATTAACAGCATTTTTAAAAGTCACTCGTTTTCTTTCTTTTTTAATCACGAGAAAGGCGAGTTTAGGGAAAAGGTACTATGATTCATTATTTAAACATACACACAAATACACAGACACACATGTCTTTCTTTCGTTTTTGGAACGGATAAAACCTAGAAAGGCGAAACGCGTAATCAAATCTAATTTCAATAGAAAACGTTTCCCTTTGTCAAATATCTTAAAAACTTTGTCTATATTCTATTTTACACACATATTATGAATATCCATATTTAAATCTAATAGATTAAAGGAAAAATATATATAAACAAGATGAAAAAATCCTAAAATAGCTTCTAAGTACTAATATATCCCCCACTGAGCCTATAAAAAGAACTAATTATATACTATACTAAATTTAATACAATCAACTTAATCATCCGCAATAACTATTCTCCGTAAACTAGTGTTTTGCAAAAGACCAACATTGTATATCAATTTAAATGTCTTTTGGGAGACTGACAAAAACATAAATATATATGTTGGTTTCACAACGACAACATTATCAAGAAGGCTTACTTTACACATATCGGATTCTAGTTCTGTTGCACAGCATTTAATAAACATTCCTGTCCACATTCACATTTTAGAGAAATATTAATTGACAATACAATGAAAATAAGAAACAAATTCTTGATGCGCTTTATATATATAAAAAAAATGAAACTGTTGAAACCCTACTAATGCATGGAATAATAATGCAACACAAAATGTACTTAGAACAAAATGTATTGAAACAAGAAAGTGTACACAATATTTACATATAGTCTTTTGTATATTCCTGGTAAGACCGTTCCTGGAGAATGTGTTGACTGAGTCGCAGTCGGGCAGAGTCTCTGGTTGAATCTCTTGATTTCTTCCTCTCTTCCCGGCACCAACCATATTTATATGGTCAGTACTCCACTATGCAAATTAGGTGGATCCTACCACAACACCCACCTCCCAAGCTTTGGAATCCTTTTGGATTTCAAACCTGCTTCCTATATGGGTTGATGATTATGGCTATTTCTTTTGTAGATCCATTTGCATACTTCATATGCATATGTCCATCCGCTTAATTTTAATATTTTTCCGTTTTGGATTCACGTCAATGGGTCCGTGAACTTTCGTTTCCTACCGGATCTTCTCGGTTCAGGAGTATTCTGCGGAGGTTCTACTTGAAACATATCATACATTACCTCAATGGGATCTTCCTCCTCATCCGGTATACTCTCTTCATGCTCTATAACGTAACATTTTTAAGTTGATTCTGGTGCCTTTTATGAGTATTCTTCGGCCCTTTAATTATGTAAATCAGGTCACCGATTCTCTTGTCCACTATGCCTCGCTCCCAGAACTCAACGTTGTTTTTTTAGTACTTGAAAAACACCTTCTCTCCGGAGGTGTATCTTTTTCTCGCTGTATACATAGTATTCTTTTACTCTATTTTTCCTGGCAAAGTTTGCCAAACACTGACTTAACTTTCCTAACGAACATTAGTTCAGCTGGTGCTATGTTTGCGTGTGTTCTCTGGTTTGGCGTGATTCTGTATACTTGTAAGAATTGCTGAAGCGCCTTTTCCGTTGGAACTCCTGAGGCTTTCTTCAGAGCGTGCTTTAAAGTATCGACAAATCTTTCTGCGAGTCCATTGGACCTCGGATGATACGGCGGCGTCGTTATGTGGTTAATTTGATATAACTCACAAAATTCCTTAAATTCTTCAGAAGTGAATTGTACCATTGTCCTCACAATACACTCTGGCACACCGAACCGTGCAAATAGTTCATGCAAGAAAGTTGTTGTGGTATTGGACGTAGGCTTTTTTGCGGCGTAGTACTTCCGGCCATTTTGTAAAACTATCTAACACTATTAAGTAGCAATAATCTTCTACTGGACCAGCGAAATCAATGTGTAATCTTGTCCACGGATGATCCGTCTTGGACCATGGTTTGTGTACTATAGGTGGTGCCTTAGCTGCTAATGCACACCCTTTACATCGATGAACCATGTTTGCGATATCCACATCCATTCCTTTCCAATATACAAAGCTTCGCATTAAGCTTTTTTGTTCTATTAACCCCAGGTGACCCATATGAAAGTCCCGTAGTATTCTTTTCTGCAACTTTTTGGTACTACTACTCTCTCACCATATAATAAAACTCCTTCACCTATTGAATAAATCTCCTGCACCTTTTGGTCATTTGCTACCATTTTGCGTTTTATTTCTAAAATGAAATCATCGCTTTCAGCTTCTTTTTTAATTTCCTTTAGTGTAACCGGTAGCTCTCTTACAATGTTGTTTACCATGCTTTTCACCTCATAATCTGCTCTGATATTTGCAATAATTGATTCTTCGAATCTTTCTTCTTGACTCGGTACGAGTCTTGATAAACTATCCGCATGAATTATATTTTTGGATGATAGGTGCTTTATGTGAAAATCATAATTGAGAAGAATGGTTCCCCATCTCAACAGACGATTTGCCGTATAAACGGGTAACCCTTTCTTTGAACCAAAAATAGTGATCAGTGGTTTATGATCCGTTTCAAGCATAAAATGTCTGCCGTAGATGTATCTGTGAAATTTTGTTATGGCAAAAATGATACTCAACGCCTCTTTTTCGATTTGTGAGTAACACGCTCCTATCCCGTATGAACTGGCGTCACTTGCCACTACAATATCCATTTTTGAATTGTGATGGGTTAAAAAGAGGTCGGACGTAAGCATTCTCTTTATTTCATCAAAAGCTTTCTCTCATTCTACCGTCCATTCCCATGCCTTGTCTTTTTTTAGCAGTTCATTCAACGGTGCTCTTAGATTGTACATTCCTTTAATGAACGCTTGATAATAATTTGCGAGCCCCAGAAAACTCTGTAGCATCGCCACATTAGTGGGCGTCGGCATGTCTCTAATCGCAATGGACCTTTCCGGATCTGGAAATCTGCCCTTTTTGTTGATTATGTGCCCTAAATACTTAATTTCCTCCAAACCAAATTCGCACTTTGACTCTTTGACTTTAAAACCAAAATCCTGAATCTTTTTAATTACTTGATTGAGATGCTCTCGATGTTCGTCGACGGTTTCGCTCCTTACTATGATGTCGTCTAAGTAGGCGCACGCAAAGTCTAAATCATTCAACATGACGTCCATAGCTTGTTGAAAAATGGCAGGTGCCACTTTAATACCAAAAGGAAGCCTGTTGTACTTGAATAACCCTCTATGCGTGTTTATCCCTAGTAACTTCGAACATTCCTCTTCGACGGGAATTTGGAGATAGGCATCTGATAAGTCGATTTTTGAAAATATAACTACACCATTTAGCTTGTTAAAAATCTCCGCCGGACTCGGTAACGGGTAATGGTAGTCCTTAATTACCGAGTTCAACCCTGTCGAAAAATCATCGCAGACTCTGACTTGGTTTGATTTCTTTTTTATGCACACAATCGGCGCAGCCCATAAATTAGATTCTAGTTTCGAAATAATTCC